TACATTTTATTTTGAACAATGAATATACACATTTACGTGATGTATTAAGTGAAAATATCATTTTTATACGAGAGTGAGAGAAATACTATAATTAAATTCATTATAAATAGTTATGATTAAAATATTTAAGTCATATGAGTTTTTTTTAAAAATCATATAAATTTTTTATTTTTTAAGTGATTATATGATTTTTTAAATTTTTTATCTTAATGAAAATATAGTTGTGTGATTCAATTTATTTTTCTCATTTTTCATATAAAAAGAATTTTTTTTACTAAAATGATTAAATTTATTGGATGTTGCAATTAAATATTTTAAAGGATAATTAATTTTTTGGATTACTTGTTTTTTGAATTGATGTGTATAATATAATTCTATATATATATATATATATATATATATATATATATATATATAATCTCCTGTTAAGGATAAAATTTATATATTAGTTTTTAAGTATTGATAGTATTATTTATTTATTAAAATTATAATTATATTTTAATGAAAATTTTACGTTTATTATTATCATATATATTAAAATAAAACTCTAATTTTTATTAATAAATAATAAAAATAACACTTAAACAACTGTACCTAAATTTTATTCTTATACTTGAATTTTTTATATTCACTTTCTCTTACATTTTTCTTTTACTATTTTTTATCTTTCATTTTATCACTTCATCAATTATAATTTTTTTTCCTTAACATAAAACATGAATGTCTACATAAAATTTTCCAACTTGTATCTAATAATGTTTTTCCTATAGATACTAACACACAATGTGCTATTATTATATACGTACACATCTATATATGGACATGTAATGAGAGTGCGATTTCGAATCATGTGTGCATGTGTGAGAAATATAATGTAAGTGAAGATTTTATTATAATATATTAAATTTCATAGTTTTTAATACTATTATTATTATTATTATTATGTGTCATCACACACGTTAAGAAAATCATTTTTTAAATACAAATTCTCTTAAAATCCTTATATGGTTTTCTTAATCCTTTATGAGAAATACACCTCGAGATTTGCTTTTGATTATTAAAAAGAACACAAAACTATGGTCTAAAATAATTGAATAGGACGAAGGGAACATCACAACAAAAACACTAATAAGGCAAGAAACTGAGTGTGGGGATAACGGACAGGAGAATTGAATCAGAGAACATGTCAGTTTATGGCTCCCATTTTATTGTCCCACGTTATTATTGAAATATTGTATTTTTTTTAATTTTAAACTTTATTGCTTTAGTTTTCTTTATATTTTTTTTACTTTTCATATTTTAATAGTTTATTAAGATTTCTAATAAAGAAAGAAAGGAGCGTACCTATACGCTGATAAAATGTCCTAAAAGTTTTAAGTCATTCTTATGTTAAAATTTTCTCTTAATTAATCTTAACTTCGTTGGCAGACCTGTGACATGTGACGAGAGTGTGGATTTTCCAATCATGCAATATATTTCATCCCTTTTTTTTCTTTCATGTTGACTTTTTCAAGACTCGCCTAATTAATTGATTATCTTTTAAAAAATAATATTTAAATTTAATTTATACATGTTTCATTGATAAGAAGTGTTAAAAATTTATAAATATAGACAAAATTATAAATGAATAGAGACCGATATTAGAGGGAGTTAATTCAAGCGGTGCATGATTGATTTTTTTAAGTGATGTTTTGATTTTAAATTTTATGCATGAAAAGAAAAAGTGCATTGAAAGAGTTAAGCCTATTATAACGTACAATGGTTTAAATCTTTTCAAGTCCAATAAGATTACCATCGTAAAAAAAATGTGATTTACATATACTACCATAAATATTTGATTTAAAAAACTCGTGTAACAACTAATTTTTAAACAAAAGTAAGTCAAAAGATTCAAACAAAGGAATTCTAGGAATTGAATTATTGTATGATCTTGGTTGAAAGCTGACTTGGGACATCTTAGAAAAGGTCAATTTTCAATCTTTTTATCGTTGGGCCACATCCCATTTTCTTCCTCTTAGAAAACCGAAGGGGAGAATGGCAGGAACTAAACAAAGGATATATTTTTATGGGGTATGCTTTTATACACCATGGATTATGTCATAAACAAATCCTATGACATGAGCCAAATGACATTTGTATTCCTTAAGGCAAAGAGACGACATTTAAGCCAAATGAACGGCATGTTGGATAGAGTCATTTCTTACGTGGCCATGTGATTTTCTTTTATTTTTTTCCCTTTTGGAAATAGTCGTGGCCACGTGATTAAGGAGCATAAACACTTTTATGGCAGAGATGCAAAGGATTTCAGTTGGACTAGAGGGAATTTTGCCTCTAACATCTCAAATTAATCAATAATAACATAATAAGTAGTTGGTTGAAAGGGACAACATAATTGAATCGGTTTGGTCGGCTTAGAAATTCATTAATGTTTAATTAGAGAGCCAACCAAGTTAAGCTTAATCCAACAAAGGTTAAAACATTAATTATACACTTTGATGTATCGAAACAAGTTGAACTTGATAGAGATTCAGAATGAACCCAAGAGAAATAAAGGACAAGTGTAGTTAGGATATTATAGTTAACTGCTTACACTAACTTCCATTATAACTCTTACAAGTATATAAATAGGCTTCCCTTGCTATCTTCTGAGCTACTTCACACACAGTGCTTCATACACACAAATAGGCATTTGAGAGCTTATTTTCCTGCCATAATTTGAGTTCTTGTTAGACCATGGCTACTTCAATGATGTCAAGAGTGTTTTTTCTTTTCCTAGTTATTACTTCATTGCTTGTTGTGAGTTCAGAGGCTAGACTTTTTCCTAAGTTCCCAACCATGATGAATAAAAAGATTAAGAGTGAACTACTTTTACGTGACATAGTCAACAATATTGTAAGAAATAGGGAGTATATATATCACCACAAGAGGGCAATGCTGGAAGGAAGATTGGAAAGATTATCACCAGCTGGACCAGACCCTCAACATCACTAGTGTTACCACCCTATACAGGATCAGTATTGCTTGCTAGAGGAAACTTTGACTCAAGTGATTAATCTTTATTTTCTCTTGATCTCATTTCAGGTTAAGAAGTTAATTATTGATTAGTTGCATAGGTTGGTTTTCTTGTATTAAAGAATCCCTGTAAGCATATGCAAAATTTTACTGAATAAAATAAAGCTTCTAGTATGTTTTTTTTCAGAGTAGATGTCCATTTTAGATATTAAAATGTATCATTCAGTTGATATTCCATTTATAAATGCATCCAATTGGTTATTCAATATCAACTAATGTCATCAAATTAGTGATCGAAGTAACATCAAGTTGTTCCTCAGTTAAAAATAGTAATAACCTTTAATTGTTATTAAACAACCAATTTAATGATTTTTTATTTAAAAAGAAGATTAGTATGATTCAATATATCTTTAAAGGACTAACGTACACATCAGCTGCATGTGTGAAAATGCTAGTTGGCACATCAACTACTTGTTACTTTTACCTTCGGAAAGTATTGGAATTAGTGCTAACAAAAAGAAAAAAAAACAACACGCGATTAGTATTTCCATGAATTTAAACTCTCTTGAAACTAACTTGCACCTGTCTTATGACCCGATTTATCCCAAAATTGGAGATTGAATATCATTAAAAAAATAATTTTAGTTTGTTATACCTTTTCACACATAGAAATGTATTTTAATTAATTACAACTTCTAACAATGAGATGGAAGAGGGACTGATAGTATCTTGCATGCATCCATCATTTCATTCAGAGGAGTTATATGCCAATACCATTTAAATTTGCTTGCATACATTTTTAACACACTTTCAACTACAACAAAAGGATGAAAGAAAAATATTAAATAAAGAATGAAAAAAGTAAAATTTACATAATTTTTGTAATTGTTAGTAAATTTTAACTTAGTAGGTTATGTCAAAAAAGAGTTTCGTCTTTGAATGTATAAACATGATTTATAGGTTATGCGTCCTTGAGATTTGGATGAGACTCTGCAGACTCATCATGCTTATTATAAAATGGGGACAGCACACAAAACTCCAAGGCACCTAAAACCAAATTAAGAATGCATAACATAGTCCACATGGAGCTGAACAGCCACAAGCAAAAACGCGATTGGACTTTTTATAAAAATGGAATTCCCTAAGCTGATGGCAATTGCCATCACATGGCTGACATTACTCCCAAACAAGCACTCACATGCACGCGCACTTTTTTCCCCAAAATCGCATAGCCAATTCTGGATCATAACCACATTTGGAGTCGTCACAGCATTTAGTATATAATATGAAACACTGGGCAAAACATGGCGCAGAATCACCTGCTAATATATGTTTTTACAGGTTGAGAAGAATCTACTTTCATCATCAAGCATTGCCATTTTTGTCTTTATGGCTTAAAATAACATACCAACTTATCCATTTTGCAAGAAAGGGTCATTAAAAGTTGGAAGATCACTGGTTCTTATATTTTCACGCCCACTTTCTTTTACATTTATTGTCCATCGTCCTTTCTCTCTATCTCCTTCCTTTTCAGTCATACCAATCCATCACATCTTTTACTTATTTTTCTTCTTCCTATCTCTCTTCCTCCACTCATTTCACAGCCCATTTTAAGAATGTCAACACATCATTTTCCAAACACCAACTACTTTCACCACTGCCAGCGATAATACCAGAATGATTCTGAAATTGCAAAATGTGATTCAATGTTTTAGGATTACCCAACTATCTGCTGGACAATTTATGAACGGAAAGAGGAACGAGTAGGGAATTGGAGTTTACAGGATCATTGGTAATAGCACAGTAATATTAGGGTTAAATTTGTATTTTGACAAAATTTTAATTCTGGTTCATCAAAAAGTTACTTTAATCGTTAACTTTTTAAAATTTAACACATTTAATCCTTCTCAATGATGTGATACAAAAAATAAATAAATACATATGATACAAAAAGATAACTTGTGACATTTTTAATTAGTCACAGTAACACTATAAAGCAAAAATATTAAATATTAAGAATCTTTTATTGTATACCCTTAAAACACGAAAAACGCTTAAAAATACAAGAACAGCCATTGCGTCTGCTAGAAGACTTCCCAAGGGAGGCCGAAAGTGCACAACTTGGGAATTCAAAATCATATGTTCGTTCTATTGCAAGTGACAAGGAAAATTTGATAGTTGCCACCCACGCCAATATCGGTGCAGTTCAATATAGTTGATACCAAACAATGTTCAACATTCTCAGTTCCAACGATAAGCAAAATTTATATTCTGTTTTTCCTTGCTTATTTTCTCTTTCTGAAGTCTGCGTGGCTAGTGTTACAGATCTCATTTCCAAGACCTAAGTGTAATAAAGGCCGCAAATAACTGAACATGAACAGAGAATACATGGTAGGATGGTAAAAATGAAGACAAAACCAAAAATGTATTGTATTTCCTCAGCTGCTTTTTCGCCCCGCTTATGCCGTTGATGCGACTAAGTTCAGCTGTCGTTACAGTACTCTATCAATAAAATATTACACCATCAACAACAACAATCAAGTCTTATCTCATTTATTGAGATTAATTACATGGATTACATGTCACCATTAAGCTCAGTCAAAAATCAATTACACTCTATCAATAAGTTATTGCGGCTGACAAAATGATCTAACCAAGCAAGGGTAACAAGAACTTCCTGTGTAACCTGAAAACTTAGTACCCTCCTTTATAATTTCAAATTTGAAGCCAGTTTAAGGGAATGCAAAAAGAAAATCGCTATCCCTTCACCTCTGAGTCTTCCTTATCCAGTCCAGAATATGAGAACAATCTTCCCCGTTTACAAAATGCCTTCATACGAAAACAACAGTTAAAAGTATTTGTAGCAAGGAATATAATCCATTCTGCATCTTTGTAAATATACAGCTATATTCAGTACAAAAAAAGGTACCTATTTTTAGTGCGGTAAGACTTAAGTTTAGAAGCTTCTTTGTGATTAGAAATATCTCTCGACATTTTTAGGTGTTCAGGAACAAGAAGACTTCCATTCCTATCATAGTATGAGCCATGAATGAAATCGAGAATGGTTTCCTGGCATGAGTAGTTCATTTCAAAATCAGCACACATAAATAAACATAAAATGGATTGAGCAACAAAATAATAAACGTTTTCCTTAAAAGAAAAATACAAGTGAGGATATATGAAGGGAATGAGGATATCTAATACATAATTTTAGTGGTTTTCTAATTATTTATAAAATTGAGCGACAGATCTTGGAAGTAATTAATATAAATAAGAAATTTCAAGGATTCAATTTTTATACCAGAGGTTTAGAAGCATCAAGCCAGTGGTATATCTGTTCATTGCGAAACCATGTCAACTGCCTTTTAGCAAAATTCCTGCAGAGAAGTATCAATATAAGAGCATTGCTAAATAACCCAATTACACTGCTGTTTGGTGGTATCAACAAAGCATTGCAAGCATATAAGACTAATACAAAGTCCAGTGGAAACAAAATACCAAACAACAGCAGAGATAATATTGTGATGCATAGGTGGGACCGTGGGAGGTACTAAAGTTTATTTTTTCCCAAAAAAAAATGTTCAACATACCAGCATTTGATTTCTTGGTAAAAAGGATGGTAATAATCTAACTTAACTACATCAAAATAGTGGCCCAATAACTAGAAACACGTCCAACAAACAGAAGGTGAAGCACAAGCCGCCATCGTTGACCTAAGATAGTTTTAAGTTGACCAAGGAAAGCTTTTAAATAACAAGTGCAGAATACTAACAGAGTACACCAATTTTAAAAACAGGACAACCAAGTAAAACATCTAAACAAACAATCAAGTGAACAACCAACTTGGCCAATATTTGTTATCAGAATACTAAGACACTGTTATTATGATTTTTGAGAATTCATGAATCATAATTGTCTTTTCTGACAGAATATACTTTAAGCTGAACATCTTTTTCAGTTAATATCATGGATACAACTTCCACTGTGCATGTAAATAAGCTTGGCATCTAATTATACAAAAACCGCTCCAGTGCCCACTTTAAATAATACTCTTTCTTAATTAAAACTTAAAAAACACATCAAGTTGGGATAGGGATAGATATGTTTTATGAGATCAATTCAGCACCTTATCAATACACTATAAAAGGAAAAAATTACCCATAAGTCAAGCTCACATAATTATATATTGCCCTTTTTGTGTTGGAGGATAACTTATTTTAGTTGTACTTTCTCTCTTTTCTTTCTAATTTCTTTTATTTTATGAGAAAATAAATCAATTACAAGCTTGGAGAGATACAAGAGTGAAAATATTGAAGGCAATATAAAGCAATCATTGAATGCATTTAAGAAAAGAATGATTACAAGTTTACAACACTAATATTCAGAACATTAAGCAAGAAGGCTTATCAATGTTTTGGAGGATTTGATCAAAAGTACAAATTTTGCAATGAGCAAATGTGGAAATTCATAGGAAAAACAGCATTGAGAATTGAAGCAGTGCTTCCTCCTGAGCTCTTTTTCTTTTTTGTCCATACGATCTCAAATGGTAATTAGACATGCGCGCACACATACACACAAAAAAGGGAGAGAGAGAAGATTGTCTCAAGCTCTTAAAAATTTTCAAACTCAATGACAAAACATAGTTCGTATTCTAGATTTCTAATTTATTCCAATTTTTCAACCACAAAGGAACAACAAAGTTGTAACTCCAACTAACCATACCAGACAAAAGTCACCAGGGGAAACAAATAAAAAGCAAACAACTGCTTTATAGGATATTTCTTTTACCAGCAGATTAAAGGTAAAAAAAAAAAAGGATTTAAAGCATTATCTTATTAAAAGGATGTAATTTTGATACATACAGAAGATTTTAAGTGAATAACTAAGGAAAAAGAAAAATGCACTGCTACCATTATCTTATTAAAATTACCGTGATGCTTTTTGAAATTCAAACAAGAATTTGTAAAATTCTCCAACTGAACTCTCACCCTGTTGCTGTCTGCATTTTAGTAAGTACTCCATGGCCTGAAATTAGTGAATCACATATACAATATTAGTATTCCAATTATTTATATAGCAAAAACAATGATAAACTTGACACATATTCTATAGGCCATCAACTACATTGCATTGTTAATATCAATATAAGAATTACAACATAGACCAAAGTTTCAACTATTCTTTTAAGCTATACTTGGAACTTTAAAAGAAAGGGCAAATGTTCAACCAAACATATTTCTTAAAGAATAAAAAACTTCTGTGGTACAAAATATGCAGATCATTCAACAAGACCTAATTTATCATTTGTAATTTGCAGATCATAACATTGAAATATAAAGTTATACTTGTCTGTAACCAATTGCTTTTGTTGCAGAATTGGAGTTTGGATTAAGACCAGTATCAAGAAGCCATCGAGCCTCAGACAAAATCCCATCCCTTCCTGCAGTTAAAAAGAACCAAGAGATTTATTGCAATAAAATATTCAGGTACTATTGACAAAGAGCACAGCATGTATTGTTATAACAGCAGCAAACACAAATAGGATGTGCAGTGCACATGAATGTTCTACAAAATGTATGGGATTCATAAACAAATTATGCGTGTTTCCAGCTCATGATATACCTAGTAGCATATCTTCACACCGATAATCAATTGACTTATAGAGGTCAAGTCTTTGGCTAGAAAGGAAAAAACACATAAACTCATAGTCTAACTCTGACAATTTGGTTTCATCCATTGCATCACCATATGGGTTCATATCAGAAGACGCAGAATCATCGGCAAGACTACAATCACCCTGTTCCCTGAAAGAATCATACGGTACTGGAAAAGCAGAAGGAGGTGATCCACTAGACTGCCATTCCAAAAGAATATAAATAAATGGTGAATTTATAAATATATGTCAGACAACTTAGTAATCCATGGAAATCATGCATTTCATATACACATCCAAGCAAAATACAGATACATACAATTAAAGTAATCAGTTGGTTACAATTATGTGCATTGAAAAGTGATAACAGCTCCACAATGAGAAAAACTTCAACTATGGATACTTTCATATTGATTGGTAATGCAATTGTGCTAGGATTCATTTTTGCAGCTGTGTGCAACATTGCAAAAATGAAAGAGTAAAAGATAGGTCAAGAAAGAATATTAAAATGTTAACATGCTTTCTTCACTCCTCCAGTATGGTTTGTAGCTAGGACAAATTTAGATTTTCTTATGGGTAAATTGAAAAATTGCAAGCATACCTTAATAATCTCTAGGCTACGCCGTAATCGGTACCAATCATTCATTGTTAGAAATTGGGCCTTTGGATCACCTGCTTTTACCACCAACTGCACAGCTGCATCCCAGTCCTCATTCCTTTGTAGTTCAGCTAACTCTTGATATGCTTCAGATGAAATATCTGGAGAGGCTTTAGGTACATCTGGCTTTCCATATATGAACCTTATATTTGAAAATTCAAACAGACCTCATACTAGTATCCCCCATAAGCTGCTCAAGAAATGCTTTGAGAAAAGAAACTCAATAATGGTGTAAAAAAACACTGATAATTCACTAATACAGTGGATGCAATACAGCCGCAAGCATTTGATAGAAGTATATTATATTCTACAATGCCAAACTAATATAACCTTTAGCTGCTTATCCTATGGTAAATTGAATATTAACAATGATTAGTACATTACTATAATATACTACAAGTATATTCACATCCTTCAAGAAATAAAGTTATGCAACACTCAGAAAACCAAGTCTGCATCACTTTTTCCTAGCTTCTTCCACCCTGTTTATTTTCTCTCTTTTTTAAGAATATCAATAACTGTGAGATTACCAATGAAATGAATAACTTCATTAGCAGGTTGTGGAAACAAGAAAAGTGGATTTCATTTCCTATTTATGTTTTCTTCAACTTATTGAGAGAATTAGTTCAAAATAGGCAACTGAAAAAGACTTACCATCTTAAATACAATCCAGTGCCCCCAACAACAATGGGAACATGGCCATTGTCAAGAATACGTCTTGTAGCATGCCTTGCATCCTCAAAAAACTGCCCAACAGAATAGTCTGATAAATAATAATTAGTTTTAATTGGTGAAAATGTTTCAAAGTTCTGTCAACAAAAAAATCAATACAAACATTATCGTCTGTATTAATCTCTTCTTAAACAAATATAGCTCAATCCAACAAAAAACAAACCTTCAGATGGGTGCAGTATGTCAATCAGATGATGCCGTACTTCCTAACAATAAAAGCAAACAAAACAATAGTAAAAAATGAAAATCAAAGATTCTAAGCATGATCAATCAAGCAAAATAGGAAACCAAAAACTTATAACAGAGGCTAATGTGAACCAATGCATTATGTCACAATCATTCACCTTTCTATCATTTGGAGAAGGCTTTGCAGATCCAACATCAAGACCTCGATATACCTGTGATACAATCGAAGCCAATGATGCCATCTTGAATAAATAAAACACAAAACTTGTTGCATTATACAGAACTATAATTTGTTTAAGCTCCACATATATAATATTTTCATGAAAAAACCAACCCTGTATCGTGCTCATAACTGATTTCTCACTTAACAAAATATTGTCATGCAACTAGGTAAAACAAGAATATATTTCCTCATAATAATAAATAACAACAGTTTTTTGCAACATGTGCATAATTAGAACGGCCTAGTTTAACTAAACTTATAGATAAATTTTAAGAAGAAAAGAAGATCAATATAAAAAATAAATAAAATTTCTTCCCTAAGTTAAATATAACTTACGCTCCTCCTTAAGTTTTATAGAGAAGTTAAATGTGAACTTAAAAAAATAAAATAAAATAGACATGCATAGGTTGATTTAACTTAAGAAAAGAGTTTGATTCATTTTACTACTTAATATTTACTCTTCCATGTACTTGTTGAGAAGTTTATCCATACTGAGCCATAGTAAATTTTTATAGAAAATCACAAGATCCAATACTACAATTCCTAAAAACTTGCTGTTTCTTATTTTGTCAGAAAAAAAAAATTAAAGCAGCTAAACAAACTTCGGCATCCATAATTTGGCTCAACGGAGATTTCAATCGACAATGCGAACAATGGAACCAAAAATCCTAAAACCCTACGAGTAGCACTACCACCTCACACACAAAACAACAACACGGAAAGACGCTGAGGAAGATGTTAGTTCATTGAATTGTTCGTTTCAATCTGCATATTACCTGAACGGAGTCGGCGCTGACGATTTCGCCGTTAAGGCGCTTAGCGAGTTCCAATGCAAGGCGGCTCTTGCCGGAACCGGTGGGTCCAGAAATCACAACCACCTTCTCTTTCTTGTTGGTTTCGGATGCAGTGGTACGAAACCGCCGCCGGCAACTGAATGAGCGCGGCGATGGTAGGAATAGAGGTCTCTCCGGGAAACGGAGACACGTGCGGAGACTGCAGACTCCGTTGTTAATCATTTTGGAGTTCCAGTATGTGTGTGTCTGTGAAGCGGAACTGCAGAAGCGTTTCTACTTCAAACGAAGGTATAGAAACATTGGATATTTAGATTTAGATAACATGCAAACATTTACTTTTCCTTTTTCCTTTTTTACAAATAATATTATTACCTTTTTACAATTTTTTCAAGACAAAATTCTATTGATTGTTTTTTCGTGAGAATAAAAAAGAATTATTATTTCTTTAAAAAACTGAGATTTAAACAAAAATAAAGATTTAAAATTATTTTTTCCTTTTATTTCTACTTGTTTATTTTTTAAACAAACTATCTATATAACCCAATAAGGCCTTTATTTATTATTTATTATTTTTTTATTAATTTTCTATGTTATTAAATAAAAAATTTGGCTCTAAATTTTTAATTTAGTTTATATTTTAAAAATATATTTTTGTTTCTTGATTTTTATTTATTTTGATATTTTATTTATTTCAATATTCAAAATTAATGAAATTATCTTATATATTAGACTTCTATGATTTTAATTAGTAATTATATAGTCAATTTATTAATTTTTAATTATTTACTTAGAAAGTTTTTTTTTTCTCTTTGATGGTGTATTATTTGTGTTCTTCTACCACTGTATAAAGTTGGTCATTTTCTTTATAATTAATAAATTAAATGTTTATTGGAGAGATTTAATAGCAATATAAAAATGGGAACAAATTCAATGAATGGTGAATTGAGATATAAAGAAGTTATGAATAGACCCTATAACATGCTTAGTAAATGATGCACAATAAGTAAAAAAAATCTCAAAATATGTTATTAATTAATAATTATAACAAATTTGATGATATTAATCTAATAGAATTTTTTTTACAATAATTTTTATCTTAATGTTAGAATTTTAAGGAGAAGTCTAAACATAAAAGTTTAGAATGAGTTTGAAAAAAAAATATCAAGACATTTCTTTATGACTAAGCTAAAAAATTTTATAAAAATAAGTTAATTACAACATAGAACAATTATCTTGGTATGATACTTTAAGATGGAACAGGATCTTCTCCCATTTTGGTGGGAACAGAATCCTCCAGTTAGGCAAAATTTTATATTTTCGCTTAAGCGAAAATACAAAATTAACGTAACTACACATCCAGTTACGGGAGAGGATCCGGATCCCTTTAAGATATGTTTGAGAGGAAGGTTTTGGAGGAGAATGAAGAGGATGATGTAACACTTTAATTTAATTTCAAAAATAATAAATTTTGCAAAATAAGAATAACTAAAATTCTCAATTTAAGTAGACTTTTCTAAGCATAGTTTCAACAAGTATTTCAAAATTATAAAAGTTTACAAATTTTGATAAAGTAACTGCTACAGGACTAATCCAAATACATCACATTTTCAAACAAAAATCTAAGCCTTCATCCATCCTTCACTAAGTCAAGTGATCGTCTTGTTTACCTGAAAAATAAATGTAAGGGTGAGTACTCTACACTATCCATCACACAAACAATATAGGGACTCAGCTTGCATATCACACATTCATATTTGCACATGGCACATAAGCCTACATTCATTCACATTACACGACACAGGTGCCCACACTCATTCGCGTTACATTTAACGCACAGCAACTCTACACACCACATTTTTAACATAATCCACATTATGCTCAATTATGCATTCACACTCAATCATTCACATTTACGAACATAATCATAATCAACTCATCCAATCGCTACCAAATCATATTCCCATAAGATTTTTATCACAATACAATCACAACTAAGTCATTCTCATTAAATATACATCTTTCTACATTCTATCTCAACCACATTGCAATCAATGGCAAAATAAATGAATTTCAAAACACAATGAGATAGGGTAGAGTCCTCTCTTACCTCAAATGAAGACCCACACACCAAATTAACAAGAAAGGCGCTTTCCACACGAATTTCGTCCTAGATACACAGAAGAATCTCATGAGAACCAAGGGAAACCAAGAAAATAGAGAATGGGGGTGAGAAATTGAAACTCTACCCCGTAAAACTTACCTCCAAGCGTTCCTAACATGATTTCAATCTTCAATCTAGCTCCCGAACGACTTTGGAGGCAATTAAATTGATGAAATAGGATTTGGGGTTGAAAGAATCGCGGAAGAATGGAAGGAAATGTAAAATAACCCATTCTCTCGAACCCTAACCCTTTAAATCTCTTTCTGGTCGCGACACTCTCGCTACAGCGAGATATTTTCGCTGCAGCGAGGGGACACCCTCTCTCACTACAACGAAAATCTCATAGGAAACTGCACTTTAGTTTTTACAGAATCTTGCTACAGCGAGACTGCACCCAGAATTGCACCCCAAACTGTTACTCTCTCATTGCAGCGAGGGACCTCTCGCTACAACGAGAAGGCGACAGTTTCATGCCTTCCTCCCAAAGCCCTCTCGCTACAGCGAAACATCTTTTTCGCTGCAGCGAGAACACCCTGCACTAGACATTTAGCCAAATTTTCAGTTCAATTCCAATCATTCACAACAATTTCAGTTCCAATACAATCAATACACATGCCCATACAAGTCTACATTGTAACGCCCTGAATTTTGTAATATTAATTATTGATAATTATATAAATCTAAATGTATATTCATGTGTGTATTTTTAGATATATATTGTGAATATGTATATATATATATGTGTGTGTGTGTGTTGATTTAATTGATAATGATGTTTTTGTGTGTAATAAGTATATGGACGTGTGTATTGTGTATATGCATGACTGGTTGGGCTGAAATGGGCTAAGTGCCTAAGTATAGGCAAGATACTGGGTCGTTCTCGCTGTAGCGAGAAGGTCCTGCGAGGAAGGACTGAAACTGTCACTCTCTCGCTACAGCAAGAGAGTGACAGTTTGGGGTGCATTTTTGGGTGCAGTCTCGCTGTAGCGAGAGGGTCTCGCTGTAGCGAGCTTCTGCAAAAATCAGAGTGCAGTTTTCTCTAGTTTTTTTGCTATAGCGAGAGGGCGTGTCGCTGCAACGAGGACGTTGTAGCGAGAGTGTCGCAACCAGAAAAGGATTTAAAAGGGGTTAGGGTTCGGGGAGAGTTATTTCTCCCTCTCCCTTCAATCCTCTCATGCCCAAAGCCCTATTCTACTGATTAATTACCTCCAAAGCCGTTCGGGAGCGAGATTAGAGCTCAGATTTGTGTGGGGAACGCTTGGAGGTGAGTTTTAAACAGTTAAGGTTTCAATTTTTCATCCCCTTTTTCTGTTTTCGTGGTTTCCCTGGGTTCTCATGAAGTTTCTCCATGTGTTTAGGACGAAATCCGTGAGGGAGAGCGCTTCTTGGTGGATTTAGCGTGTGGGACGTCGATCCGAGGTAAGGGGGGACTCTACCCTGCTCCTTTATGTGTGATTTGCTGATATTTTATGTGATATTGTGATGTGACTGAGTAGAGGGTAGGAAATTGCTGAGATATGTGATGTGGGCACTTGTGCTGTTTATACATGTGTGTATATCTGAATGAACATTGTGAAAATGTGGGCTCGATGGCTGTGTAATATGAATGGAAATAGGTTAGGGGCCGTGTGTCTTGAATGAATTGTGGGCTATGTGCTGTGTGTACTGTGAAAATGAAATGTGTGCCTAGTGCCGTAAAGTTGAACAAATATGGGCATAGTGTCGTGTACTGTTAAATGTGGGCTATGTGCCGTATACTGAAATGTGTGCGATTGGGGCGTGTAACGCCATTGTAATGTGCTGTGAATGGTTCAACGATACACTAAGGGTGTGGGAGATGACGACGGTAGAAACACCTTGGGGAAGAGGGAGTGGTGGTAACACTAACTGTGGAACGGGTGCACCACGGGCCACACACTTTCTTCCTGACTAGACCTCTGACCATTACCTTTACTGAGTGATCTGTGACTGCCCACGTGGCATCGTGAGGCGGGGTAACCAGCGACCATTCATGGTGTAAATCTATGATCACAGTGTCAATGTGAGTGTGACCGGTGTGAGTATGCATGGGTTCATGAATTGTGTTTATGGATGTGATAATGCTGTCTGTGCTTGTATTTGTTTAATGTATTGGAACTGTGTTGGAGGTGAGACTCTATGCTTAATTGTATGTTTTGGTAGTATAGAGTACTCACCCTTACATTCATTTTTCAGGTAATTAAGACGATCAGCACCAGACTCACTAAAAGGGGCGGATGAAACTGCTATAGGACTAGGATTTTAATTTAAAACTAATGTATTTGAATGGGTCCTGTAGTAGTAACTGGATAGAAATTGTAACTACTTTCCTTATTTTAAAATATTTGATGAAATCAAGGATTGAGAACCTTATTTGAAATGAAATTTATTTTATTCTGAATTTGTGAAATTATTATTTATTGAAATTAAACATAAGGTGTTACATACATCATCATCATCATACACACACACACACACATATATATCAAATACACAAACACATGAAAATTCACATACACACTTAGATTAATAATAAAATAATATTACAAAATTTGAAGCGTTATAGATGACATAATTAAATTTATGTTAATATATATAAATTTATATTTTTATTTTAAATAAATATTAATTTAAAATATAAAATTTATCTTTTTCTCTCTTTCCTTTCAAATCTCCTTCCCTTCCTCCCTTTCTTCCATTATCCTGAACAATCCCTTAGAAAATAAGGAGAAAAAAAAATATAGAACAAACCCTTAACAATTAACCGGTATTATAATTTTTTTCTTTTATTTTAACAATTAGAAATGTACACTCCAAATCATTATGAATGGCCTTAATTAGTAAATCTCACTAGTATCATAGATTGATGACTTGAGATACTTCAAAATACATATTCTTATATATCCCAAATAAAATTGTCACCATCTAAGTCTTTTTGTTTTTTTTTTTCAATAATTATAAGATTAAAGTTTTCAAAATTAACCCAACAACACTTACATTAAATATTGAAATTGAAACTTAATAAAGAATCATAATCTCTAACATAATTGATAATGCTTTGATAATGCTTTAAAGCATAACTATTAAAGCACATCAAAATGCATACAAAATAAGAACATAAAAGATCACTATAGCTTTAAACAAACCAAATATTTTTTAACTTTCTTGTTGTCACCAAACTAAAGTCTTATACAATTAGACAAATGTTTGACGAAAGAAAATTTTCTAAGTTATAAAGTCCTCTACTAGACTTTCGTAGTAGGAAACAGACTATGTTCTTTTAAGAAAAAATACACATCAAAGTTCAGTGGCATGGACATAGCCTTCGACTAAAAAATCAAGAAGAATTATAGGTCCCTTCACTGTGATGAGCTAGGAAACTAAGTCCAAAACTTGTCAAAAGAACTACCTTTCGACTTATTTCCATGAAGACTGACAAAAGAGCCTTATTCTTTGTTTAAGACTACATTTTGAGACATTTTAGAAGGCTATAAAGGTCTTATTCTTTGTCAAACATAAAGATACATTCTGGGGAAATTTGGAGAATCGCAAAACCTCTTCAAAAAGGCCATATTTTGAGCAGTTTTGATAGGACATGAAGAGACTCGTTTTTTGTCAAAAAGAGGATGGTCTTTTGAGGAGTTTCTGGGAATTTTTCAATCCCTAGACTGAAAATAACCTAAACTGGTCAAAAAATAGGAACTGAAAAGAAAATTATTCTAAGTCCACAAGATTAAATGAGCTCTCCCAGAAATTGCTCAAAAATTAGAAATTGACAAGAAAAATATTTTAAGTCCACGAGATTAAATAAGATCTCAGATTCCCCTCAGAATTAGTCAAAAAGTGAGAATTTTCAGGAAATTTATTCTAAGTTCACAAAACTAAATGAGTTCCCAAATTTCCTTTAGAATTGCTCAAAAAATAGAAAGTGGTAGAAAAATTATTCTAAGCCCATAAGACTGAATGAGCTCCCAGATTGCCCTCAGAATTGCTTAAAAAATAAAAATTAATAGAAAAATTATTCTAAATTCACAAGATTAAATGAGCTTTCAAATTTTTCTCAGAATTACTCAAGAAATAGGAAATTGGGGGTAAAATTATGCTAATTCCATAAGGCTAACTGAGCTCTCAGACTTTTCCAAAACTAGTCAAAAAGTAGAAACTGAGAGAGAAATTATTCTAAGTCTACGAGAATTTCTGACAAGTTTCCCTCAATTGTCAAAATATAATAAGAAATTTACTCTAAGACCAAGGTTCAAGGTGGAGTTCAAGAGGGCAGGAAACATGACGAAAAATCACAAGGCTAAAATAGACTTCAAAGTAGTGACCAACAATTATCACTAATTGAAGGCCAAAGACACAAAGAAAAGATCATGGACATAAGAAACAAATGTGGAGAATAATAGTTATTGAGAAGCCACGATCATCAACACGATCATAAACAATTGTAATGGGCAGCAGCGGTTGAGGGCTAGCATGCACAGTAATCAGTTATCAGAAAGTGCCTGCAAAAATAGGATAGCGATTGAGAAGCACCATCTATAATGTTACGAAGCTTCACTTTTCCAAGGGACAACTTTTTGCACCCAGACACTACACTTAAAATTCTACACTAGGCCAGACGCCAGCTACCCAGAGACACATGGCTTTTGCTGTTTAGTGTTGAAGTTGTATGTTTATTTTTCTGCAATTTGTTTTCTATTTCTAGTTTCATTTTACGTTTTATGTTCTTGCAATTATGTCTTTGTTTAATATTTTTTTTAAACGTTTATGATTAATTTAATATTGTTTCCATTTTATTGTTTTACTATTCTTATCTAAATTTGTACTTTACGACGTCTCAATTATTATCACATTTAAAAGAGTCTAAAAGAATATAAAATTCAGTCTTTAGATTGCTCTTAGATTTATTTATTTATAATTTACAAATTTTTATCATAAACAATAAAATAAATTTATTTTTTTATTATTTTTTTACCTTAACTATTTCTTCCTCTTTTTCACTCTGTATAGTTGAGTAGAAAAAAAAATGTCGTTAAAAATACAGTGAAAACATTCTTAAGTATTGAATGTAGAAGATGATAATATATACTAACTTAAGTAAGAGAAAGAAAAAAGTTAATAAAGTTAAAATAAGTAATAGATATCTAAGCTCATGACCTAATTCATTCTCTTTTTAGAATCACTATTCTAAGCTTGTACAAGGCTTAATCCAATAATTAATTATCTAATCAATTCCTTCGATTACTCTACCTATATGAAAAGGGAAATTTTGAGTTTAATGTAAGTAACCCCACGTATTGGCAAAAGGACCCTTGGCCTAAAAAGAGTAACCCATTTAACAACAAATATATGATGGCTAACCCTCATAATTAGTGAGCTAAACAAGTTGTGTACATGAGCTAGCAAGCTCCTCGGTTACCCACAAAATACTTAAAAAAATATTTTTTTAATTGTTTAAAGTAAAATATACGTATATATAAGTATAAAATTTAAAAAGCATAAAAATTAACAAAAAAATAAATACATACATACATAGACTAACCCGCAAACCAACTCACTTAGTGCATTTTTTTGTGTCCAAGATCAAGCGCATTTAAATACACAATTTATTTAAATATTTATTTAATAAATTATTTTTACACCAAGACTTATGCCATAAAGTAAACCACAAAATTTATTAAAATAAATTTTAAAAAAGTATAAAAATATATAAAAATATATATAAGCTATTTTATAAATTCCATCATCAACATATGCACTATGCAGACTTATCAAATATAAATGGGTTTAAATACAACGCCTTGGTTAAAAATAGTGGAGACCAATTCACATCCCCACCCATAATCAGATCCACTCTGCTGATCAGACCCCACCTCCCACTACTTCCATGCATTTTCATCGATATCAAACCACTTTTGGGCTGCTGTCTCTCAATAAGGTACAGCCACGATCCCATAACTCTACACCATCGAAAATCGCTCTTTGTATAATCCGAAGCATATCTCAGCTGAGGTAGATTTTTCCTGTATATCTCATCTTCAATAAAAACTAACTTGGACATCAGAGTATCTTTACAAGTACACTCTACACCACCTGCCGCAAGAGCTCTAGAGATCATCCACTATCAACCTTAGTCTTCACGCAATATGGCACTCAACAACCTCGAACATCACAAAACCCGATCATCGTTGTCGACCAATCTTCATTGCACACAGACCACAGCCACCGCTACCATGAATAATGAACAGAAAGGACTATCCGCACAGTTCTGCCGCATTTCAACAATTTCGTTCCCCCCACCTAAGCTACCACAAGCAAACATAATCTCATGGGAGAAATCATTTTCCACTTTAAAAAAAAATTCAGCGGTAATGAATGAGTAGTCTACGACGACCGCGAAGCTTTTCTCCAGTAAGATAGACTTTGAACGGTTAGTGCTTCAGTCATTTATATTATGCTATATCAATAATAGCAAGGAAAAATGAATTTTAAATTAGAGTAAAAGAGACAAACCTCTTATTAGTATACTGAGACCTACTAAACGTTTATTACCAACTATTACTTAGGTCTGCAAGGCAACCTCAATCATATAACAAATAAGACGGTCAAGTTCACAAACAACATGATCGTATCTAACCTTCAAAAATTGAACTTCTGATACACAACAAGCAGGTTCATTAAAAAGTAAAGTCACAAGAAAGAAAGACTAATAAATTCTAATAACTTGAGAACCATGACATAAACTCTATGTTGTCTTGGACACAATTTTTAATTATCTACATTCGCCAGAAGAATCTCTGCGGTGATCTCATGCATTATATGGGTTCCCACCAGCTGCTCCTCCCATATCCCTGTTTGGCATGTCTCTATTGGGAGAATTATTTGACCATCCAGCATTTTGCTGAAACCCTCCCATGTTCTGGTTTGGTGGCTCCCCTCCCATGCTTCCAGCATAGTTATTCTGAGGCATACCACCTGCGTGGCCATAGCCCCCAGCCATGTTAGGAGGAGGAGGAGGGTAACCACCAGCTGCGTTGGGAGGAGCATACCCACCTGCATTAGGAGGGGCATATCCACCGGCATTAGGAGGGGCATACCCACCTGCATTAGGAGGGGCATACCCACCGGCATTAGGAGGGGCATACCCACCTGCATTAGGAGGGGCATATCCACCTGCATTGTTCGGGTTATATCCACCTGGGTTGCCTGAAGGGGGCCCACTCATGTTGCTGGGAGGTGCATATCCACCGGCATTGTTTGTAGGGAACCCACCTGCATTTCCAGGTGGAGCACCTGCCATATTAGGGCCAGGATTTGGCATAGGAGGCCTACCCTGCATATCTCTGTTCACAACATTTTCCCTCCTCCTCTCAAAGTTCCTTGACCTGTCAGCATTTCGAGGCCTGTCATTGCGCCTGTTTCTTTCATTTGCCCGAGCATTGTTTCTAACCCACTCTTCATGATACTTGGGATCATAAGGAACTGCTTGCCCATTTATAAAGGGCTCACCTGGTGAGCAAAACAGAAAAATTCACAAAGCACAAGGTTATGGCCAATCAGCAGCAAGAAAGAATTTCTACTTGGCAAGAGTTTAGATTCTAGCCACCGGTGTAAAACAGAACCTGACAAAATTATAAGATTTCATGCTATGCTTATGCTACCTATCCCCTTTATATGCAACTAAAGTCACACAGTCAAGAATATCCAACGAATCTATTTTAAAAGCCAAGGGACAGAACAAGAAATTCTACCTCCATAATCCTTTTCCTTAACATTCAGATACGAGTCAGGAAGGACCCATCGAACTCCAGGCAATTCTGCAATTCCAAAAAAACCAGAAACTGAAAAACCCTTACAAGCACAAAAGATAAACAGAAGCCAAAAAAATGTTTGAGACCTCATATACCTTTAATTTTGTAGGAAAGTTCTTCAGACACAAGTGCTCCAAATGCAAAGTAGTGCCTAGTTGAAACTGAATATATCTTCATCCTCGCTTCTTCCTCACTACAAAACGCAAACCGAACACACTCAACAATCAATCCAAAACACGCAACAGTGCAGAGAACACCGACAATAGCTTCTACAAAGCTTATTTAGCATCTTATCATATAATAATAATATATAAAAGTTAAACTAAAAGTGTTTTATTAACTAAAAAATTCACATTCAGTAATCATAAAAGAAACGCAGCACTTTTCCTACATCTAACCTAATATCAAACCAAATTAAGTAAAATACACAAAACAAGCAATGGATGAAAATTAAAGATGATAATTAAGAGTAATTGTTGTTATTACCTTCCAATAACCTTAGCAAGGGTTTTGATATAGCTATCGATGATTTCGTCGCGCGTGGGGTCACCTTCGGGTTTCTCCATGACGACGAGCCAGTGCTCAAAGTCGCAGCCATCGAGCAAGATGGTTTCCTTCGGGGGACGATTGGACCAGTTCGGGTTGGGGTCGTTGAGGGAGGATGTGGTGGCCCGTGTGGAGAACGAGCGGATGCAGGAGGTGGCGGGGAGGAGGAAGTGGCGGAGAGAGGGGGAGGCGGCGACGGAGAGGGGGCGGAGGCGGCGGAGGAAAGAGATGGCAGAGAGAGAGGAAGGAGCGGAGGTGGAGAGGGAGCGAGAGAAGAAGGGAGTTAGGGTTAGGGTTAGGGTTTTGGGGATGACACGAGAGAGGATCTGAGTCGCCATGGTTGCGAGTTCTGAGTCAGTGGCGAGTTTTGGAAGGAAGTGACGGAGAAATGGGAAATGGAAATGGTAAGGGTTTAGGGTTTTCATTCTTATAGACGATGCTTCCAGAGAATTAAATATCTATGTTGCCTCGCTTTATTGGAATATCTTATCTTTCTCCCTTTTTTTTAATTTTTTTTATTGCATTCTTTATTCATTAAATAATTTAAATCTCTGACTTTATGATAATTTCATTTTCTATTTTAAATTTTAACAAAGTCCCTTTTAATTAGACTAGTTTTTTTTAACAGAAGTTTGGTGACTATTTGATTCACTTGTTCTTGAAATTTTTTTGAGGTTGTATGTTATAAAATAGCGTATTACTTACCACTTCAAATTTGAGATTTATTAATTTTGTCCTTAGATTGTTAAGCCAAATATCATGGAGCTTTGTTAGTTGAACGATGGTTGGCACCGGAGTTAATTCAACCTTTAATTGGGGTTTTATGTTGTTGTCATTTGTTAAGTAAACACTTGGTTCCAAAAGAAACACGTAATGGTTGAGTTTTAAGAACTATATCTTAAACATTATTTATCTGTTATATATTATAAGGGATGTTCTGATCTAATCATTTTTTTTTCTCAAAAAATTATTACTAACCATTAAATTTTTTTAAAAATGAAAAGAATTAAAATAATGCATGAACTCATCGAAAAGGTTAAGTTATAATTTTAATTTATATATTTAAAATTTTTAATCCTTGTCTGAAAAGATTGTATGCTTGTAATTTTTATTACAAAATTATAAATCAGTCATCGCTATTTTGTAGAATTATAATGATATTAGTGTAATTCTTAAGAAGGGGTCAAACCAGAAACCATGTCATGCGTAAGGATCAAAATGTATCATTTTTATGTGCAAGGACAAAAATAAAATACAAATATAAGGATTAAATGAAAAATAGCATCATGCATAAAGACTAAATTTAACTCGAATATAATTTTGTTAAATAGCAGAAACTGTTGTTTAACGATTTTTTCGTGTAAAGCCAACCATATAACATTTTTTCATGTTACGATTTAAAAGCAAACGGTATCAAGTATCATACCTTGAAAAAATCATACGAAATTTGATGAATCACTTCAAATTTGATAACATCTGCTTGATAAAAAAAAATGACAATATTAATTTGTAAAAAGAGGAATTTCAATATTAAAAATTTGTTTGTCAACATAAATTTATTTTTATTTTGTTCTTAAAAATATTTTTTAATTATTTTAAAATATAATTTTTAAAAATTATAAACCAAAAGAGACAAACAAATCCTTCTTAATCTTTTTTCTTTCCCTCTTCGTTTAGAAAGCATCACTTGATCGAGTGTCCTCAACCATAAGAATGTTCGGTAATTTTAATTCTTAATACGAATAATTTCTGATATTTTTATAATATTTGTTTCTCTGCAGCTTTTATCCTTAAATTTAATAGTTTTTTTTTCAATTTCATTTTTAAAAAATAAAGTAGAAAAATAACCAAACATACCTAGTAATATAATTTTAAAAGAAAAAATAATACTCCAAAAAGAGTGAAATTTTACGTCATAAATACGGTTCATTATATATAAATGTGGAAATTAACAATGAATCGTACATATAGCTGAAACTAAGACTCCTCTACCCGAAAAAGAGAAAAAAAAAAGGATCAAGTTTTCTAAATCAGACCTAAATTATAAGCAAATTCTAATATATAATAGACATCCATTCCTATTGAGTGTTTTCTTATTATTTTTAGAGTGAAAGATCTTAAAATAATACTTTGGTCAGACCGAATCATTTTACAATATTAGACTTTGAGCAAACAAGACTTGTTTATTAAAAGCACAACACAGACATTTATATTTTGAGTCGATGAATTAAACAAATTTGCTAGGTGTTTACCCATTCAAGACCAAGAAGAATTAAGAAATAAGCAATGTTACCTACAGTTGAATAAAACGTATGCAGAAAATGCTTAATATCAGTTGAAAAGGATCATAGTTAACTTGTAAAACTGAATAATTTATATCTACCAACCAAACCATGTCTCAGCGTGTGATGCATGGGAAAGATGGTGGGGCAACCAAACTCTAACACTGCACAGTCAATGTTCAGCTCACCAGATAAACAAAACATTCTACATATACTTCACTTCTTTCATTGGTTTTCTTGAAGCACTTTTAACTCACCAAACTTTTTCCAAATCCCACTCACATTGAAAATACAAGAGTGCACCAAGTCAAGTCCCTTGTCCAAACTGTTAAAAGTCCATTCTTAAGCTTAAAAATTAGCGTACAGTTTGGTGTGTTAGCTCATCTCCCTCTCTTGCTCTCTATCTCCTCTTCTTCACATAACTTAGCCAATACAAGCATTTATTCTCTCACTTTGTATGCACACAAGCCAACAATGGGATCACCATTCAAGCCCATCTCATGCACCAGAAAAACCTCATATAGAATAGAAACCAATAACATATCATACAAGTTGTGCAGCCAACTTGATGAATATACAAGTCTTTGTTTTGGTTTGAATCCTAGGAGAGGTGCAAAGATCATTTTGAAGGATATAACATGTGAGGCAAGGCCAGGGGAGTTAACAGCTATTGCTGGTCCCAGTGGAGCTGGAAAAAGCACACTGCTTGAGATTCTTGCAGGGAGAATACCCCCATGTAAGGTGTCAGGGCAAGTGCTTGTCAATCATAGACCTATGGATGTGAACCGGTTTCGAAGATCATCCGGGTATGTCACACAGGAAGATGCTTTGTTTCCATCACTTACAGTTAGAGAGACACTCATGTATAGTGCTATGCTGAGGCTTCCTGGGGAAAGAAAAGTGGCTGCCATCAGAGTTGCAGAGTTGATGAAGGAGCTTGGGTTGGACCATATTGCAGATTCAAGAATTGGTGGTGGATCAGACCATGGCATATCAGGTGGGGAAAGGCGTAGAGTTTCCATTGGTGTTGACTTAGTTCATGACCCTGCAGTTATTATGATTGATGAGCCAACTTCAGGGTTGGATTCAGCATCAGCTCTTAATGTAGTCTCATTGCTTAGACTAATGGCATTTAATCAAGGTAAGACAATTATTTTAACTATCCACCAACCTGGTTTCCGAATCTTAGAGCTATTTGATGGCCTCATTTTGCTGTCTGATGGATTTGTCATGCATAATGGGTCATTGAATCTTCTTGAGGCTAGGCTCAATTTAGCTGGGCATCACATTCCTGACCATGTCAATGTCCTCGAATTTGCTCTTGATGTCATGGATAGCTTAGGTATACATACTTCGGAATCACGAAACAACCAATTTCTTCTTAAAGACAAAGAGAATCAAGATCATAAGATGAGGATGCTGTACTCCAAGATTGTCAAAGAAAAGGCACTTGTGTACTCAAATACTCCATTGGAGGAGATTTTAATCCTAGGACAAAGATTTTGCAGCAACATATTCAGAACCAAGCAACTCTTTGTCACCAGGGTCATACAGGCCTTAGTAGCTGGTTTTGTACTGGGAACCATATTTTTGAATGTTGGTAGCCAACAAAGTCAAGTGGCATTGCAAACAAGAAGTGGCTTCTTTGCTTTCAGCCTTACCTTTTTGTTATCATCAACAACAGAAGGCCTACCTATTTTCTTGGAGGAGAGAAGAACTTTCATGAGAGAGACCTCAAGAGGAGCTTATAGAGTTTCTTCCTATGTTCTAGCAAATACCCTTGTGTTTGTTCCTTTCCTTCTATTGGTTGGTCTCCTGTACACTACTCCAGTTTATTGGCTGGTAGGATTAAGGAAAAGTATTGATGGTTTCTTTTACTTCTCCTTAGTGGTTTGGTTGGTCTTACTCATGTCAAATTCTCTTGTGGCTTGTTTCAGCGCTCTAGTGCCAAATTTCATCTTGGGAACCTCAGTGATTGCAGGTTTAATGGGGTCTTTCTTTCTATTTTCAGGGTATTTCATATCAAAGGAAAAAATACCCTGTTACTGGATTTTTATGCACTATTTGAGCCTATTCAAGTACCCATTTGAGTGCCTTATGATAAATGAGTATGGGGGAGAGCAAGGGGAAAGAAGATGCATAGAAATTAGCAATGGAAAATGCATATTATATGGAGTTGAGTTCTTAAAACAACAGGGTCTGAAAGAGTCACAAAAATGGACCAATTTAGTTGTAATGTTGGGCTTCATAGTGGGGTACAGAGTGCTTAGCTTTTTTATTCTTTGGTTCAGATGTTACAGAACCAGAAAATAGATAAGATTTACAACATTATTAGATGCTCATAATAGTCCTTTCTTTCACTGATTTTTACTTATTTTTTCACCAATAATAATGCATAGTTCATGTTTACACACACAAAATCTATCACTATTGTTTTGTGCCAACAGAAAAGGCTATTAATATTGTTCTGATTCTTCTGAATTTCCCATGTGTGATTTCTTCATAGATTCATCACTTATAACTACTAAAAGGCAATGCTTACTGTTTTCCTTATTCTAAAACAATTGCGTATACATTTACTATTAACACAAGAACAAGGATGGTAGAAAGTGGAAAAGATTCTTCAGTTTCTTTCCCCTTGCATTACAGAAACAAGTTCACTTTACCAAAAAATGAAACATAACAGATTACAGATGATTACAAAAATAATTGTAAATAATTATAAACAGATCATAACAATGGCATCAGAATTGAATATTTCAACATAAAGTCATTTCATTGGTGGAAGAAAATCTTGTCGCACAAAAATATATAGTCACAAACTCCCCCTTGGTGGGAGAGAATAGAGGAAAAAGAAGTCACTGGAGAGGCAACTCTATTTTTGAAGATACTTTGGTGGACCATCCATGCACAGAATCAGTGATTTTTGTTTTCTCGGATGTGCAAGTAATGGAAATAGCATTATTCTTACACAAAGGCCAGCACATGACCCATCAAAAGCAAAAGCAAAACTAAACAACCTCCTGAAATACTGTGTTACTTGGCAAAAATTGAAGACAAACCTATATAAAGTTTTAACTGAAGGGATCCTAAATTGAACCAGTAATGTGAGTAGTTGACTAGTATGAGTAGAAGATATATTAATTTACACAGTAGTTTGTAGCACCAAAAGGCAGTGAAGATGGACAACCTTGGATAGGAGGTGAATTTTGAAAAACTTATCACCTGCAAGACGTAAGTATCCTAGCAATAGGGAACCTAATTGCTTCGGTCATAAATTGATGTGAAGGTCATAGTCGCAAAAGAACTCATGGTTCCTGATAAAGATGAATCATCTTGCCTCTCTGAACCAGCCAAAAGAGACGTTTCTTCTACTTCAGCCTTGCCTTTCTGTTTCCCTTGGTCTTTGGCCTCCACAAACTGAAATATTAAGTAAGGTTTTGTCATCTTCTCCTCATTCACATCCCTTTTTCCAATCAGCATGTCAAACACAGTGGACATAGAAGGTCGGAGCTGAAGAGAATCTTGAATGCAAAGAAGACCAATTTTACAAAATCTTATTGCCTCCTCAACATTGAAGTCTCTGTCTAGAGATACATCCACCAAACTATCCAACTCCCCCTTCTCATACAAATCCCATGCCTGCAGCACATATGATATGATCTTGTCACTCATTTATCAACAGTTGAGTTCCCATCCACACAACCAGGATAGACATCTAGATTCTAGCGACAGCAAATTAATATGTTGCATGAATACGGGTACAAGTATTGGGTAAGATAGGACATGTAAATACAGCAAAATTTTAAAATATTAAGATATGGGTATAGCAACATAAATTAAGTAAAATATAATTATATTTATTACTGTCATATTGAATATTTTATAATAATATTTAACAAATCTTAGTCAAATAACAATTTTACAAAAATAAAATTTAAAATCCTTAAAAATAAGAAAATATTTTTAAAAAATATGAAATATTAAAAATGTCACAGTAATAATTAAATAATACAATTATCATAAATAATTGTTCTTATGTCAAAAAATACTTTTGTAAATTTTCAAAAAATAAGATTAAAATGTTAACTTAAAATATAAAAAATAAGTTAAAAAAAAAAAAAGATCAGGTCGTCTTAGAGTAATAACCTTTTTTAGTCATTTCAAAATGCTTTTTCGCAGATGTTGAAACCAACAAGCAAGTGTCTTATATGAATGCATGTGTTATACACATATCAGTATCAAATGTGGATATGACATGCACACGTGATGATTTTTGAAGTATTCATACAGCATAGTAATCCTTAGATTTATGTGCAATTCAAATCCAAGATACATATGAAGAAGAGTTTTTTATGCAGTTCGGTACAAACCCTTGAGACCATATAGAGATTCCAAAGTTCAAGAGGCAACAGGTGTGGGTTCACTCCTTGACAACAAAAAAGAGTTTGTTTCCCAGGTCAAGTATGTCTCAGGCTATACAAATTTTACATTACAAGAGCTACTAATTCTCTTAGCATGACTACATTGCATCTCATATCTTATAACAAGCTTAGTCAAAAATTTCATTGCAATAATCACGCTATTGCTTGTTGTTTGCTGTCTTTGTAACAGTGATTCAGTGAAATGACTAACAATGCAACTAAAAAGACAGAATCATTCATGTCATTTGAACAAATTCAACCTGCTTCAAGGATAGTACAGCTCTAGGCAAAATCTAGAGGTTCTAACCGCATGGCCAAGTATTTTGAGTTGGAAGTTGCAACTTTGAACATCAGAAATTCAAACTACACTAGTCTGTTATGAAACATCATTACAGATGCTAACATCAGAAATTCAAAATGAATAACTTGAATAAAAGGTCTAAATATGGCTCTCTAATTTGTGATTATATTTAATACATGATAAACATTCAGAAGAGTGATATCCAATTTCAACAGGTTAAATTACATAGTCAAGATGGAAACCGGATGTTGTTGGAGTGGAATATATTAAATATGAACTAATATAGGGGGGGGGGGGGAGAAAGTGGTGCAGACTTTCATTCTATAATAGAAAAAGAAACTATAATAAACAAGAAGCTCCAAGAATAAAATTCTCTATCAAGACATGGGAATCACGAGGTATATTTAGCTAACTCGTTAAAGTGAAATTCTCAACTACATCTAATTGCACATATTCTATATTTTCAAGAAAGAAAGGTCCTGACCCTTATATGAAGATACCGTTCTTCGGCAAGTAAATGTCTGTTCGTGTTAGCCCTCCCACTAACAATTTCTAGTAGTAGAACTCCAAAACTATAGACATCTGATTTTCTAGTCACCTGATTCCGTATTGCATATTCAGGCGCCACATAGCCACTATAGAAACCAAGGACATAGTAAGAAGAAAATGGACAAAATTTCTATTAAAATTTGAAATATAAAAAAATCAATAATCAAGAAAGACAAGTAATTATTGTTCTGGTGGAATTTCCTAGTATAAACTATAAAAATTCTCTAACAATTGAAGACAGAATTATGAACTTACAATGTTCCAGCAACATGTGTACTAATATGGGTGAGATTTGGTGGAATAAGCTTTGCTAGACCAAAATCTGAAATTTTGGGCTGGAGATCTTTATCGAGTAGTATATTGCTTGCTTTAATGTCTCTATGAATAATATGTGGCTGAACTTCATCATGAAGGAATGCAAGGCCACGGGAAACACCAATGCAGATGTTACGACGTATATGCCAACTGAATAGGATGCTACTATGGCCCCTACCTATATAGTAAAATTCATTACTAGAATAGTTTCAATACAATCATATCAAATGTGGAAAAAAAAAAAAAGCTTACGTAGAAGTGTTTGTGCTAGGCTGTTATTCTCAAGATAGCCATATACCAAAATCCTGTGGTTTCCTTCCACACAACATCCGTACAACTTAACTAAATTCTCATGCTCTATACTACTGATCACCTTGATTTCTGTCAAGAACTCGTGGACACCTTGTCTTGATTCAGTTGACAAAACCTTCACAGCAGCCAGATCACCATTTATCAGCTTTCCCTGTTCAGTGTAGAAAGTTATTAGTCGCTGAAAAAGAAACACAGGAAGAAGCACAAGTGCATCTTTCTAAAATAGTGATGTAGTTATGAATAGTGGAAGACATATACAATCACCTTATAAACTGATCCAAAACCTCCCTCCCCTTTTTTGTTTGCCAGACTGAAACCTTCGGTGGCAATATCCAATTCCTTGTAAGTGTAAAGATTGACATTTTGAATGCTTGAAATATCTGTTGCAGCAGGTACACGTTGTTTTGATTTAGGAGACGTTCAAAAGAGTTTATGAAGTGCTTACGGAGATGGCTTATAGGTCTTATTAGTACTTCTCAATTTCAATAAGTTTCTCTATATAATTATTAAAATAAGTACTTTTGAGCTTATTCCAAGAAGTTTTTGTTCAAAATTATACAATAGACCTTTATATAAAATGATTGTATTGAATAAAAACTTGATTAAGCAGTGTTCCTAAATGCACTCTTAAACATAGAAACATTTGTAACATATCAAATTTCAAAAATTTTCTGATAGAAACATAGTAAACAAAAATTGCGCACATGCTTCAGAGAAATGCTGTCCTAGATTAGTGTAAAAATAAACTTATGCAAAGTTTTTCTAAAGAACAAAAGTTGATATAGTAATAATAACAATAATAAAAACAACAACAACAACAACAAAAATTGCCAGCATTTTGATGCATTAATACATCTCACTGAATTATAGTACTACATGCCATGCATGAATGTTCCAGCTGGTATTTTGCTTCAATTATCTGCCAGATTTCATGTTGCTTTCTTCAGGTCTTAGTTGTTTAGTTTCTTTCTTCATTGTACCCCAAAAAAAGAAAAACAAAATGCTTTGAAAGATTATGCCCCCAAAAAGAAAGTCAGGTTCACAACTTTTATGAGGGAATTAGATATTTTCAGCACATTGTAACCAAGTAGAAACCCTGTACTAATACTCCAACCTCAGAAATTTGTCTAGTTGCACTCAATTTGATTGCAAAGGCAATAGTATAATAAACTTTTAACGAAGGCTGGAGGATGCACTCAATTTTAAAGTAGGCATACTTAGTTCAAAAATGGAAAAAGTTCATGTGAGAGATTCTTGCATAAATTCCAATTTCTGGGATTCCTAGATTCAGTCTTGTTCATAAAAAGACCAGCACAGACCAATCTTGGTGAAACCCAAATGATTGAATAGTTTTATGATGCATCAGATTATCTATGCAAATCTGTTTGCAAATGCTAGAACAAATTAGAAAAGAGGTAAACAATAGTATTTTTTATCCATGTATGTACCTAAATCCAATCCGGTTGATTGTGTAGCTGAGGAAGACCCCCTTTTCCGGAAAAAAAGAGAGAAACAATTCATTAGAGTAACTCGGTTGCTCCTATGAACCAATCCAACCACAGCATCAACTTGTAATCATCTTAACATAAAACTCAACAGCTGAATATCTATTCCACAGCCAAACATAACTGTGATCATGGGATCAAGTGCTGAAAGAAACAAACAACGCATTTTAGAATGCCAAAACCCTGATTGAATAATTGCGCAAGTCATCAGCAAGGTTGCAACAGGAATTCAGCAACTTCTGCTGCTAATAATTCTTTTTAAATACGAACTACATTAATTATATTGAATAACACTCATTCTAACCAACCTGCAAATCAAAGTCAAGTTTTATATTTCTGGTAAACAGTCAACACTTCATAACTTAGCTGCTTATATAAAAAAAAAAGTGAATAATGAATGGGAAAATGATGGAGGAGGAGAAAATAAGTTAACAGAAGTAATATACATGTGATATGTATCTGTACAACAGCTCAAAATAAAAATTAAAATAGTTTGATAACTGCATTATCACAACAATAAACCTATAATTTATTTCTATTTAATTGTCCAACATTTTTATCAAGAATAAAAAAAAATAAGAAAGAAAATACATTTCTAGAACCTGAAGAAAAATTGAAGAAGAATCTCAGTTTTCTGAAACCAGAGTCGTTGCGGGTATTACTTGGGCGTTCCAGAGAGAGAACTTCCAAGTCAAAACTACCATATCTGGTACACAGTACATTCTTTACGGAGACATGGAACCACAACATCAACCCATTTATTTCTATACTTACTATTTTTTTTTCCTCCGTTTTTTACCTCCTTTTCTTTTTGGTTTTCATTTTTCTATTACGCTCTTAATTATTATTTTTTATCTCACTTTTCCTCCACTTACAAGTTACAAAAACAAAGTATCAACATATAATTCTATTTTTAAAATTAAATATTTAATTTTAAATTATAATTAATTTATTAATAAAAGTTGATTCGAGTGATAAGCAACTCGATATCGCTTAAGTAATGTCTCGAGTTCAAGCTCTTGTGTATATAAAAAAATTTTAATAATAGACTCACCACATCCAAATTTGAGTTAGATCTGAATTAAACCGAAGGAAAAATTAAAAAAAGTTATGATTAATTTTACGATAAAAAATTATCGAATCAAATATAAATATTATTACTATTATTATTATATAAGAAAAAATTTAAATGTAATAATATAAATATTCATAATTTCATTTTTTACTTTGATTTGTACAATAAAAATTGACACTAGTTAATAGAATTTTATTCAAATATATATATATATGGATAAAATTTGATATGAATTAAATTATATTGATTTTTAAGTTTAAATTTAAATTTGGATCTAATTTAATAAAAAAATAAATTTGTAATTTTATTTTTTTAATTTTAATTAATTCAACTTGTAATTTGCATGTCGGAGTCGGTTCATTAACGCGCTCCTTCCCGGTGGGACCTAAGCTCTGTAAAATTATGGCATTTTGTTTGTATTTTTCTATTCATTAATATTCATAACTCTGTTTTTTTTTTTTTTAATAAAAGCCAACCTATGCAGCGAACCCATGCAATTATGCAACATTATTTCCACAATCTTGTCTCTCCCAAGTGTACGAATTGAGAATACAAAAAACGCAGCCACGATTTCTCAACTGTGTTGGCAGGATAAGCAAAAATGAAGGGAATCGGTGACTACCATAGTTTTGTCAATCTTTTCCTTCACATTATTGTTGCCTTTTCATGTCAACCCAAAGAGGTGCTAGATTGCAGTGACTAAACGTAAACATTTATATTTAACATCCTTGTTTATCTACAGTAAGCGTGTAATAATAAACTCCTTTATTTTCCTTATCCTTCCTTCTCTCTTTCATTAGAGTCCATTCCTCCTCTCCTGTTACCCTTCCTTCATTAAAATTTATCCTTTCTTATTTTCCTTCAAACAACAGTATGTTAGAAAACTAGATACTATATGCAGAATTCATAATTTATAGATCCACGCCGTAAATAAAACGAACACCATATTTTGTTATATCATTAAATCACAGCATAATTCCAGAGGTACTCTCCTTCCATTCAAGTATTCTAGATTCTTCACGGCCTTTGAGAAGCAACCACCAATGAGATATCAAGGTTATCGACAACCACTTATCTTCGTATTCTTTACAACTCACTCACGGTTCAGATATTCTCGATTATTCATGCACAAACCTCTAATACGTTAGCACAAAAAGCTTCGCATTTAAATATCCTACGGGCGTGTGAACACTATTGTCTTTGCAAGTTCTAGGGCTAACTTGCGTCCAAACAGCTTCTCCACAATAGCTAATGCAAACTCGATAGAGGTTCCTGGACCTCTGCTGGTAATAAGGTTGCCATCAACTACCACCCTGTTCTCTACTTCACTCTGATCCGATAACTTGTTGCTCATTGCTGGAAAGGCAGTGGCCTTTTTACCCTGTAATGAAGAATACATACAATCACGTCTCAAATTTACACCATGATACAAAATAGAGGCATAAACAGGAGCAGCAAAGCTAGGAAATCAAGTTCAATGAAATATTTAGGCCTAGCAAGCATTTTATAACACCATAAAATAATCAGAATGAAGACTCCACAGGAGATTAAGCATCATAAGTGTTTCTTCGGTAATTATAAACTTGAACCATACTGTACTTGGCACGCTTTTATGAATCCTGCCGGATTACACACTGTGTAGCTTAGTCGATAATTGAAAACCAATTGGAAGGAGCTTTAGAACAGTTTACCTAACGTAACTAAGAGAACTGAATGTATAAAATTGTCCTTTTACTGAAAGTTTTCTTTATAACGATTATAGATCGATCCATAAATCAAATACCTTTAGCAAACCATGGGGCTCCAAGACTAAAGCAGGGGAGGCGCAAATTGCACCATAATATCTTTTTGACTCTCTCTGCTTTTTCAGCAGACTCACTAAGGTTTCGGAGTTTGCAAAAGCTTGGGCACCACCCAGTCCACCCTGGAAAATTGGAAATATATTTACACAAACTAAATACTATATACTTATTAATCACTATGAAGAGAATAAGAGGCCCCCTTACTGGCAACACAATAAGATCATATGAAAGTTTTGCTGCTTCATCCAGAAGGATGTCTGCGGCCAGTTTAACTTTACGTGATGCCACAATCTCTAGTTTATCCTCAACAGCGGCAACAACAACCTTTGCCTTTGCTCTTCGCAGAATATCAATGATAATCACAGCTTCCATTTCCTCTGTGCCATTAGCAATTGGTACAAGAACCTAATAAAAAAGCAAGTGTACCAATGCACGTCACAGTCACTAATCCAGTAACAAATTTTATCTCTCTACATAAGATAGACATATTCCTACATATTCCTACCACAGAAATTCATATGAAGATAGTCCTCTTTTCTAAGATATTCTAGTCAAAATTTAGTGAGAAAATGTCAAAGGCCCAAACATCACCTTGGGTAGATCGTCAAATGTCCACTGCACTGGGTTTAGCTCCGTAAAAGTGGGTTCATCACCATGATTGGAACGCATGACCTGAGTGTTGAATTACACAAGAATCCAATGAGGAAAACCAAAGTAATGCACATCATAGCAAGAATCTGATATCATAGAGCATACAGATATCTTAATAGTGCTTCTATTGAATGTCAAGAAAACCAGCAGTACAAAGCTCGATACACCCATGTGCACCAGCCCATTCATATGTTACCAATTAGTTTATCCACTCAATTAATAGAAGGTTGTATTCAAACATATTTTCTTTTTTCTTTTAGTTGGTCCCATGCATATAGTCAAGTGAAATGAACAAATCTTGACTGTCCCATCTCACATGAATGATGCCCTTACCAGTGGACCTGCAACTTCATCAGCTTTCTCTTTTCCACATAACTGCTCAACCAGTGCAACGGCAAACTCCATAGTAGTTCCTGGCGCACGACTGGTTACAACTCTGCCATCCATCTGCACCCTTGACTCAACGGTAGAGGCAGCATAACTGGCCAATTTCTCCATAAATGAAGGATAACAAGTTGCCTGTCCCACAACCACACACAAAGTCAGTCACCAAACCATCTCAACACCACCACAAAGCAGATTGCAACCAAACTTCACCTTCAACCCATTCAGCAAACCCCAAGGCCCAAGCACAACCGCAGGAGCAGCACACACCGCAGCATAAAGCCGTCCATCCTCAACATGCTTCTTCACCAACCCTTCCAAAACTTTACAGTCTCTCAGATTCTCAACACCCGGAACCCCTCCCTACACACAAATTCCAAATAACCAAAAACAAAAATTCAACTCAATCAAATTAACACTTCATAAAATTATGAGTACAGTTATTTTAGTTCCAAAATTACGCAAATAACATTTTAATTTTTATTTCTATGATTTCCGACACTAAAACACGCTGAGAAATATTACGGAATTTTAGTGCCTAATTTAGAGATTATTAAATCGACGTATATTTCTAATTTTAGGACCTAACTTAGTGAATCACTCAGCTCAGCCACTTAACGATGTTGCAATAGCGAGTGATAACTAATCAATTAATCAAAAACACCTTTAATTCAATACTTAACAGGAAAAAAGCGATTCCTCCAAAAAATAAAAAAACAAAGAAAGTACAATGCGACAAGCACGGATGAGATAAAAAGAGTGATACAGGGAGAGCAACGAGGTCGAAGGCGGAGTCGGCGACGTCTGAAACGGAAGCGTCGGCGAGGATCTTGACGCCGTGGAGAGCTTCAACGGAGAGATTGGAAGAGGCAGAAGCGACAGTGACGTCGGCGCCAGAGCGTCGGAGGACATCGACGGTGATAACGGCCTCCATAGGCTCTGTGCCGTCGGCGATTGGAACCAAAACCTTTGGAGCAGGGGCCATAGGGGTGGTTGAAGAGAAGGAGAGTGATGGAGTGAAGGAAATATTGATGAGTTTGAGTTTGGGTTTGGGAGTGAAATTTGTGCAAGGGAAAAATTGTAAGTGACGCAACGCCATTTGTGCGTTTTGCTTTTTTCTTTTTTTTTTATTCCTTCGTCTAGAGAGGTCTCTACCTCACTGTGTGTGGAAACGTGTCCATGCGTTGTCCACGTGTCCCTTATTTTTGCATCATTTCTCAGCTGCATCTGATGCTACAGCATACAGAGCGCTAATGAAGAAAATATCCAATATTGTCAAAAGTGTAGATATTTCATTAAAATAAGTCTTATAATAAATAACGATAAAAAAAGCTTAAAACATTAACTTTAATCTTTAAAAAAATTCAATTTTTTTATAATTAAGATAAAAATATTACCACTCTATCCGGAGAAAAGCCCGAAATAAATAATATTTATACATATTTTATTTATTCGTATAAAAATATATTCTACAAATTATTAATTTACTTATCAATATTTATATTTAAGTTATCAGTTTTAAGAACGAAAACTTTTCTTAATCTACTTTTTTAATGACTCTTTAATTTTAATCTTTCCAACTAATAATATCAACTTCTTTTTATATTTCTAGTTCTGCAATTCGCTGAACTAAATTTTAACGTACCATATCATTTTAAATTTTATGCACTCGATTTATATCCATACTTTACTAAATTTTTTTCAAATGTTTCTTTTATTTATTTTAGTTTTTAAATTTTATAACAAAATATTTTATTATATTTTATTTTTCATTTTATAAATAATGGTGATATTTTTATATTTTTTAAAATGTATATTTAAATTTTCTCGATATTTATAATATATGTACTGTAGATACAAAGCTCATTACTATGTTAAATTTTTTACACTTCATCATGTTAACAAGAAATATAATTTATAACATATAATAAATTTTAATAATAATAAAATATGAAATTTCAAATATATGTTGTACTATATATATATATATATATATATATATATATATACACTTTCTTTTGTTTAATTTTATTTATTTTCTTTTTTTCTTATTTTTAAATGTAAAATAAATTTAAAATTCTTAATATGATATCAAAGATTATTTAGTTTAAATGTTAAACTCTTTACAGACATCCAATTTGATCAAATGACTCGTACAAATATGAATGTAAAAAGTATATTAAGATTTCTCAAATTTATTAAGAATATTAAAACTTGTACCTTGTAAATACATGAAAAACAACCATGGAAGAATGACGAACTTGATACTTATACAATGTCGAATTTTCAACTTAATGACTCTTGTTAACATTCAATCATAAAGCTTTTGAATAAAATATCTCAAAGGTGTCACCTAAATAAATACCTTTTTATCTTGCAATGAAACTTTTCGTTAGGTGAATTGTGGATTCGATGTGTCCTTTAAAATCTTTTAAGTTTGCTTTCATGGCCTGCAGGTGCTTATTAATCAGTTCCTTATAGATTTAGTTTGTTGGTAAGTGATAGGTGTGTTGTTGATATTGAAAATATAGGTTTAACGTTAGGAAAAATATATATTTTTAATTACTATTTTTTTATAATCTTAACTAAATAATTAAAAAATGCTTATGTTAAAAAAATTATATTTTTTACATTTTATTTATGTTTAATCGATTTATTTCTCTTTTTAAAATATGTTTAGAATGAAATTATTTTTTTTAAAAAAGGAGAGTGACATATTTTTTAATCTAAATTAAAAAATTATATATTATTTATGACAATAAATATATAATTTATATATTAAATTTATGTTAATATATTAATTTTTTTATTTAAAATAATAATAATTTTAATATATTTATTTAAAATATAATTTTCTTTTTTTTCAAAATCTGTGCTCTCAATTAACTTTAAAATATTACAAAAATTATATATATATATATATATATTTTTTTTTCTCTTCAACAATCCACCCCTTCCCTATTTGATGTTGTTATTGTTATATTATTTCCTATTTTCTTGTAAAATTCTAATGCAAATAAAAAAATTTATTAATAAACAATATTTTGTCAAAATTTAAAGAGCTATGAAAAATAAATTTTATAAATATGAACGAGGAATAAAAAAAAACGAAGAGAATAGAAATAGATGACAAAGATATAGATAAAAAAATAAAAGAAATAAAATGTGTAAAAAATTTATAATTTTTTTATTAAAATACTTTATTTTCAAGTTACAAAGAAAAAAATAAATAATATTTTTAATAAAATTAATATTTTTATAAAAACATACTAAAACAAGATCAAATAAAAAACAAAACAAAACATTATGATATCAAGCTATTAATTTAGCAATTATAAATCATAACATTCTAAAATTATGTTTTTAATAAGATATATAAGTTTTGTAAATTAAAAATATTTAAATTGTATTAAATAATTATAAAGAATACTTTTTTTAATAATATTTTTATTTAACTCAAATAAGGTTGTCAATAGTAAACGATATTTATAGTACAAAATAATAATCTTACAAATTTATTTAATATATATAATTTAACGTGATTTATTTTAATTGATATATTAAAAAAAATATGTATGGTTTTAATTTTTATTTAACTATCTGTAATAAATAAAATATAATTTACTATAACTAAATATATAAATTAAAGTGTATTGAAGGCTTTTAATTGAAATTTTTCATATAACAAAATTTTAAACTTATATTAATATACATTAAATGTTGTTGCTTTAAAATATTTTTGAGTAAAAAAATAAAAAATAAATATTTTCAATATATAAAGAGAGAATAACTCATAATATTTTATTTAAAATAATAATTAAATGAAAAAATTGAGAGATAAATGGTTATATATTTATATCTTTTATCAATTTATATATATATATATATGAGAGGGAGAGAGAGATAGTATATTTGATACAAATCTAAAATAGTAAATTTCACTAATATGTTTGTTAAAATGTTTTGTATTTTTAATGTCCATTATGGTCCCTGCTTCCTATTCAAGTAAAATCATTAGCCCTACTACCCTACTTTTTGTTTTGGACTGCGGCGCACACAGCCTTATCTTCTTTTCTTCAACCCGTGATTTTCACAAATTATACCAAACCCACCCATAAAGTGTATCTTTATTCTTCACTTCATTTTTCAGAATTTTTATATCTCAGTTGCTTCAGCCAAAAGTTTCATTCTACTGTTTTAATTTCTCTGAAAATAAAATAAAATCAGGTAACAAGTTCCAATTTCATAGCCTGAGGCTTTTCTTCAAATCAAATTTGCAAATGTTATGTTGGGATTCAATAGTCCAGTTTGGACCTGCAAGACAAAAAAATTTAAATTTTGATTATAAATTAAAATTAACTTATACATTTTATATTTTAAAAAATTATTGTTTGTTTATATAAAATTTAATTTTGGTTTATAAAAATTTCAGTTTATTTTTATTTTTAAATACTTAAGAAGTAATCCAAAATCAACATATCTCACAACAATAGCTCAACAGCGTGTAATCTAAAATTCAGATCTCAAACATGAAAAGTTTCTAAAACAGGATGATAAACGGTCAAAACTCAAAATCTAAAAGAAAAAAAGAAGAGTTACTTCAATTCAATCCACATCAGCATATGTGCCTCTCAAATATAACAGGTAAATGTGAGTGAGAAGTGGCACAGGTGCCTGTTTCTTTCAGATAAAGCCACGCAATACAGTAGGTTAAAAAAACAAAACAAGACTTGAATTAGTCATAGTTAGTAAGTATTATTATTTGCTGAAAAAAATAACACAAAAAAATCTTCTAGATCCTCCCAAGCCGAATTAGTTAGTGGAGGTACATGTAACTGTGTGTCCCTTCCCTAAGACATGAACTAGATTGCACATAACCAAATTTAGTGTCTTTATTTCACCAAAAAAAGATGGGAAATCTCAAATAAAAAGAGAAATGATAAGATTTACAAAACTTATTTTTCACACTTATTTTTTTATTTATATTTATCTTTTCCTACACTCTCTCTACAACCTAATAGTGGGTGTACATATCAATTTGGTTCCCTGAGGAGGGCCCATTTGGGCATTTTCCATAGAGGGCAACTCAATCTGAATGGGAGCGTGGGTGCTTCATTCAAAAAGGGGTTTATTTTTTAAAAATAGAGCCACAAATAGACAAGGGCAAGTTGTAATGAAAGCGGGTACATACAAGTAACTTAAGTTAGTCCATGACATACAATACAACACTCACATGGTAGATGCTCGATGGAGAGAGAGAGACAAAGAGGAGGATACATATTCTAGAGAGAGAGAGAGAGAGAGAGAGAGAGAGAGAGAGAGAGAGAAGAGGGTGTTTGTTACTTTGTTACCGTGTCTTTGCCATCTGTTGCACTGCGGTAGCATTGTTGGGGTTTCCCAAAGCTCTTTTTTTTGGTTGGTGGGGTTGCTGGTTTTACTACTGAGGTGAGGAATGAGGCCCGGGAAGTTTGCAAATCTTGCTTTCTGCTTAGAAATGTTAATGAGATATTTGCAATTTTGAGGAACCCTAATTCTGGGTAAGATTGTGTTGCTCTGGGAGGTGGTTCTGGGCTTTGTTACCCTGAAAAGAGTTTTTAGGTCGTGTCTGTTTGTTGAAAAGTTTGTTTCTTTGTGGTTTCTGAAGATGGATTTTGAATTCCTTTTCGAAGAATCTGAGCTGGGTTGTGATCTGAGTGAGAAGTGATTTTTTTTGCTTTGAATTTTCGTTTTTGTCATCCCTTTCTGGAGTTGGTGTTATATTTGTGTCCCAAATGTTGCTTCTTTATTCATGCATGTGGATTTTATGCTTCACTGTGCTTCTGGAATTCAGGGTTTCCCTATATCTTTGAAATGATTTGCACAACTAATGTGTTTTTTTTGTGTTGCTCTTTTATTTAAGGAAATAATGATAAGTATTTAATGACAATAAAAATAGGAGTATTTATTATTGAAAACACATAAGTCATTTAATACTTGTTTTTTTAAAATAATTAAAAGCATATTGAGGTGTATTCAATGATACTTTATTACCAAATGTTTTTGAACTTTTAGCTTTTGAAGTTTGACGACAATATTTGGTGTCCCAAATCATTGTATTTTGAAACATTAGTTGCGGTCGTGCAAACCGTAAACTTCGAGGGATTGCTTATGCATTATGTCGTGTGCTCTGTGATGCTTATTTGGAAACGTTCCCAAATTTTGCATATATGGTTTAAGCTAATTTTAGCAGAAAACGTTAGTCATTGTTATCATGTTATTAAAGACCATTCTTCATCATTTCTATGTGAAATTTTGAGTTTTTTAGAAAGTGAAACATGATAACCAAAACTGAGTATTTTTCCAAAAGAAACACTGTTGCATAAAATATAATATATATATGATCCTTCTCCACTGGATTAATCATGAAAAACACGCCTGAATTGATGGAAAACAATATATGATGATATTGCTTTGCTTGGTCTTGGGCAATGCATACTGGTGTATCCAAAAGAATGATGATAGTTCCGTATCTAGAAGATAAACTGGAAATTATCTTATTCCGAAACTATGTTTCCTTATTTATATAGGTTTTTAAATGTTTAAGTATTTTGGTTACTTCTTGTTTGTTGATAAATAGTTTACCTATACCTTTTTTTGGCTTACATTTTATGTTAATGAGATAATATGATATTCAGATTTTAGTAAAAGAGAAAGAATCTTTTAATGCATCCTTGTGATGGAAAAGATATCTTTCACCTCACTTACATGTCAACTTTGTACTTAATACCACCTTGCAAATTTATTTCTTTTGATAATGTTAAGGCTAATGTTGGATCTTATTATTTTGAATGGTAGTTTAATAACTTTCCTTGCTTTCTTTTGCAGATTCTGAAGCCTCTACCATGTGATTTTATTTGTATTAACTGATGTTTGCAGCATTGGAGTTTGTCAACCAGCAATTCAGGGGTGAAGAAATATGCCTTACTTCATAAATTGGTTTACAATAAGGCAGAGCTAGCTTTTCATAATGGTGCCAACATGTAGACCAGATTGAAATTGTAAAGTGAAACTGCCCTAGTTAGCAGAGAAGTTGATAAGCACGATATGGAGAATTTATGTGATGATAACTTTGAAGGATCTATTGAAGAAAGACAGATTTTTACTGAGGTCTTTTCTGCTAATGACATTTTTCAGTCTAGTCAGAAGTCTCTTGTTTCTGGAGTCATCAACTTTGATCATGAATCCACTAAAAGTAAAAACACATTTAAATCATTCTGCTCTAGTAATGAAAATTCAGTTGTATTGCATCCCTCATCATCTAGGCTTACACACCCTGAGGAGGACTTTAATGTAATTCAGCAATCCAAAGAGACTGCTCTGGGGTGTATGCCAGAGAGTTTCGTTTGTGAAGACCAGAATGACGAGGATGTGAATGTCAAACGTATGAAATTTTCTCTCCACGAACTTGCTTGTAGTAGATCTGATTCAGAAAATATTTTGAGTTCATCAAGACTTTCAAAAGTAGTAGTTACTAACCTGTCACATGCTGCTTCAGACTGTGATAGTGAATCAGTTCCATTTTGTTTAGTTGAATCATCAAAACATGGTGTGATATCTAGTTGCTATCTATTGAAGAATAACATTTTAAATAAACAAGTTGCTAAGGATGATGATGCTACAAATTGTAAATCAATATCAGCAGATGGGAATGTTGCAAAAGAGGTGTCTGTAAGTAAAGCAGTTGCTTCTCCTGTTTCGCAGGAAAGCTTTGCAAACAGGCTTGTAGTTACCAGTCCATCAATTACTGTTGTGAAAAAGTCAGGGTCTCCCTTAAATCCTGAAGAAATGCCAGAAGGGTTTCTATCTTCTAATATGGACATCTCAAATTCATCCCTGAAGGTAGAGGAAGAGGACCCTCGGACTTTACTGCAGTTTCATATTGTACAGTTGCTTAGAATGGCAGGATGGTCGATTGAGAAGCGCAAACGACCTAGTAGGCGTTATGTGGAGTCGGTTTATAGGACACCAGAGGGAAAGCCTATTCGGGAGTTTACAACAGCTTGGAGATTATGTGGTCAGCTTTTATCTGTGGAAAATTTCAATTTAATGTGTGCAGACTACAAGGAATGGACTGATATTAGTCAATTCTGGTCTGATCTATCCAGGGCACTGGTAAATGTTGAAAAAACAAAGACTCAGTCTGAGCCTGCTGCTATATTGGCTTATCGATGGTGGCTTTTGGATCCTTTTGTAGTGGTTATTTTTGTCAACAGAAAGATTGGTGCACTAAAAAAGGGAGAGGTAGTGAAAGCAACTAGTAGTTTAGTTTCTACTCAGTATAAGATGGCATGTGCTCCCTTTGATTCAAGCTCTGTACCTGGAGGGTCTAAAGTAAATGCTTTTTATCAAGCTAAAACTAGAAATTCCAAAAGCTTTGATAAACAGTGTTCAGAAAATTATCTGGAAACAAATAAAAATATCAATGGAGATGTGTCGATGGACATGTCAGAGGAAAATAATGCATACAGTGTTGGCCATGGCCTCGTTCATTCTCATGACACAGAGGCTATGCAACATTCTGAATGTAGTGAGGAAGAGGGTAGGGAAATCTCAATGGCTTCTGTATTAGGGAAAGATAACACATATTCTGCTTCCAATGTTATTGTTAAAAGGAAAATGCGGAGGAAGGGCAGCAAAAGGGTATCTGAAATCAAACTGAGTAGGTTATACCATAGTGGCATGTTGGGATCAACTGTTACTGATCAGGTGCAGTCACTAAATGGTGAAACATGTGGGTTGGAAGAGGTCCAGGATTATCTTACTGACAGTGCAGGAAAGAAAAGAAACTGCAGGAAGTTATCATCTGTTGGTGGAATCCAGAGAAATAAGTCCAATGGATGCCAGATTAAAGATGATGATTTATTGGTGTCAGCAATATTCAGGAATAAGGACTTCAAAACAAAGGCAATCCGGGGTAATTCTAGTGCTAAATCCTGCAAATCAAGGGGCCAGAGAAGGCTTAAAAGCCAGAAGGGCCGTTGCAGGTTGCTACCAAGGAACCCTTGTAATGGAGGGAAGCACAATAAGGATGGAAATAGGTATTATTTGGGCACAAGGACAATCTTGTCCTGGTTGATTGAGAATGGTGTCATATCTTTAAATGATGTGATTCAATATCGAAATCCTAAGGATAATGCTGTAATTAGGGATGGTAGGATAACCAAAGATGGTATTATTTGTACATGTTGTGGTCGGGTGCTTACATTATCAGGGTTCAAGTTTCATGCTGGGTTTACACTGAATCGCCCCTGCTTAAATATTTTCATGGAGTCTGGTGAGCCCTTTACCCTGTGCCTCCTTCAAGCTTGGTCAGCTGAATACAAAGCCAGGAAAAGCCAGAATCAAGTTGTGCATGCTGATGATAATGATAAAAATGATGACTCATGCGGGCTATGTGGTGAGGGAGGTGAACTGATATGTTGTGATAACTGTCCATCTACTTTTCACCTAGCTTGTTTGTCCACTCAGGTTTGTCTGCTCCCAGGTTTATATTAGTTTTTCACTTTTCTTCTAATGATTTTTTTCTTCTTTTTCTCCCATGTCATGTCAATATATATTTTTTTCTTTCTATGTTTACTGAAATTGAACATGCTATTAAGTGTGTGCTATATAATATGCTCTTCTGCTATTCCTGTATATATGCTGTATAGTACACCTTTACAGTAGCATAACACATGTAGTTCTACCCCTCCTGCATTTCATCTTGCTAGTAGTATAATTTTTCTGTAGTTTGGAATGTTTATTATGATCTTGCTGATTGCTAGGAATGTAGTATATTGTAATTAGGATTTTTTTATAGTGGGTAAGTGGGCTAACTAACTTCTGTGAGCATGAATAAATGATCTAGGGCATGGACTGTATTTTACTTGCTCTTTATGGTACAGAGATAAATGAATTAAAGAACTTTATGCTTTGTTTGGCTGTGGTTTAAATATGTTCAGTGAGTATATCCCCTCACATTATGACCAATTGATGGTATGGATGAGTTGCTTTGTTTTACCACTTACCAGCATTTGTACATGTTTATTTATGTTGCTCCAATATGCCTGCTTCTCTTTATGCCGGGTATTCAACAATAAATAAACTCCTCTTGTATATGACTGTTGTTGTGGATGTGATTAGTGTTAAGGTTTTCTTAGTGTACCATGGAGGAATGATATAATTTTTTCGTTTTTTTACATCAGGAGATCCCTGATGGCAACTGGTACTGCACTAACTGCACCTGTAGAATATGTGGAAATTTGGTCATTGATAAAGATGCTTCAGATGCACATGATTCATTGCAATGTTCACAGTGTGAAGACAAATGTAAGTATGCCCTGTATGTTCATGTTGCATTACAGTGTAACCGGTGTTATGCTTTAAATCTCTTTGAAGAGCATATAGAGGGTCCATAGACAACAAATTGGGTCTTACCATATAAAATCAATTTATTTGTGTTTGATTTTGTTTGAATAATTGCAATTTGATTAATGGCTAAACAATTTGTTGGTTTGAATATTGTCATTACTACAATTTTTATTTGTTGTTATAGTATATGTCTGAGTCTCTCTTAAACGCCACAATAGTGGGACTGTGGGAGCCTCGTGCACTCAGCTGGTCCGAATTATTAATTTGTTATAATAAGTAATTACTTAATTTGATTGTGAATAAAGATTGCTTTGATCTGAAAGTTTGTGCACTTTTTTCTCTTTGTGATCTTCAATGATTCTATCTGATTACTATGATCTTGTAATATAGATCATGAGAAATGCCTGAAAGAAAGAGAGAAACAAGAAGGATCGGTTTCAGACACTTGGTTTTGTAGTCAGAGTTGTCAGGAGGTACTATTCTACAATTTCTTAAATTTTCTAGATTTCCATTTTAAATGAATTTCTTGAATTTAGCAAATGATAGCTAACTGCCTGGTATATTGCATGATAACAGTGGGGTTTGTAATGTGAGTTGGTCATTGTACTATCTAAAATTTGCAGAGGTGGTTCAAAACTTCTTGAAAGTTTGGTTTATGTTTCAAACTATTTGCAAATATTTGGCACGCTAAATGATAATTTTGTTGGATTTAAATGTTTATGTTGTGGTAAATATAGTTCTAAAAGGTTGCATTTTTTAGACAAACAAGTTTAAGCTTAAATATTTTCAAATGTAGTTTTTGAGATGAATTGTGAGTATGGATTGTTAAACAAAAATGTGTGTAACCATTAGGGTAATTGTGATTTACATAAAATTCTCTCCTGTCCAAAAATGTGTGCAACCAATACGGGCAGTATGATGATTTCTTATTTACCACCATTGCTTATTTACCACCATTGCTTTATTCACGTCTTTAAAAGACATTCAGTGTAGATAATATTATTAACGGTATAACAGGTTGCAATATTCCTTTGATTCCTTTTTTCTGTGTTTTATTACAATTATATTAATGAACATCATGGATTTCCTATTTCATTGTAATGTTGGTTGTTAAGAATTACCAAATTTACAGTTAGGGAAAGAGAAGAGGGAGAAAGAAGACTAACACTATTATTGATATGACAATGTGTTGTTCTGAACTGGTGCTCCTATTTATATTAATGATAATTATGAATTTATTTAATAACCTAATAATGCAATCTCAACACTGTATTATTTGTTCAAGGACTTGACTCTGGTTTGTGCAGGTATACTCTGGACTCCAATCGCAGGTGGGATTAGTTAATCAAGTTGCTGATGGCTTCTCATGGATGCTCCTTAGATGCATCCATGATGACCAAAAGGTTCATTCTGCACAGTGGTTTGCCCTAAAGGCAGTGTGCAACACAAAATTAGCTGTTGCTCTTACCATCATGGAGGAGTGTTTTGTGTCAATGTTTGATCCAAGAACTGGCATCCACATGATACCTCAAGTTTTATACAACTGGGGGTTAGTGCCTCTTTGCTGTGATAAATTTCCCTCTTTTTTGGTGCTTCATTATTTAAATGTGTCCAAATAATCTCCTGCTCCACATACTCTTTTTAAAGCCTGATATATGAGTTTTTTGGTTTTCTTTTCATCGCTCTTTTGATTTTGATTTGAGGGATTCTATTTCAATGTGATTTTCAGGTCTGAGTTTGCTCGTCTGAATTTTCAAGGGTTTTACACTGTGGTATTGGAAAAACTGGATGTGTTAATATCAGTAGCATCTATCAGGTAAAACATAAAATATAGATTTTTTTCCTCATGGTGGTAGAATTTAAAGTTTTTAAAATCTTTTTTCTGACATATATGTGAATGGTTGTATTTTAGCTACTTTTTAAATATTTAAACATAATTATTTAAATGCCTTTCATTTAAAGATTTATGAACCAATTAGGTTATAATTACGTCTATTTTGATTTTTACAAAATGACATCTCTGTTTTATTGCATTGTTCTCAAACCTTTTTACTCCTTGACAGGGTGCATGGAACTACAGTAGCAGAGATGCCTCTAATTGCAACTTGCAGTCAGTATCGTCGACAGGGAATGTGCCGACTCCTTGTGAGTGCAATTGAACAGGTACAATTTGGCTGTAGTTTCATGTATTTGTCCAAAAAATTGTATCCAAATAAAATAAATCCTAAAGTATTGTTTCAGCTTCACTCTTGTTGGATTTTCAGTTAGTCACTTTCTTCCTATTGTATAGTTGAGTTTGGAATGTTCCCCCACTTGCTTCCTTTTGGCTTTCTTTAGTGAAATCTTATGTTCCTAAATCTATTTGTCATTTGTAGATGTTAATATCTATCAAGGTAGAAAAGCTTGTGATATCAGCCATTCCAGATTTGGTTGAGACATGGACCAAGGGCTTTGGATTCTTACCTGTTGATGACATTGAAAAGAAAAGATTGAATAAAATAAACTTGATGGTTTTTCCTGGGACTGTGTTACTTGAAAAACCGTTATACAGGAAGGAGAAAATTGAAGGTATTTTTGTTTGATATGTTCTATTAGTATAATGTTTTCATTAGATATGTAACTAAATTCATTGTTTTGTCTGCTGAAACAGGACCGTGTGATCAATCAGCTCTAGCAACAGATGAATCATCCAAAGTAGGCATCTGTTCTGAAGGAATGGCCATTATTGAATCGTTGCCACAAGATGTTGGAAACCTAACTACCAATGAAGTTGAAATTAAGTCAGAATATGAACCTGTAGATGGCAACGGCAATGAAACCGGCAGAGATGATAATAGTCAAGCTGTTGACACTGCATTCGGAGACAAAGAATCAACAAAAATTAGTAGCTGTTTAAGAGATCAGATCATCCAGTTAACAGTGTCGGGCGGTGCAGAAGGTTTTATTGAAGGAAACAAAGAGCAGGAATTGAAGAGCAACAAAATGCAAATGCTAAGTGAGTTGGTACAGCAATCTATTGAGAACTGTTGTGCTGACAAAGATGGTACTGAAACAGGTTTAAGAATTATTGAGGAAAAGAATATCAAAATAGGTGAAGGTCAGGAAAATGCTTTGCAGGGCCATTTTTCAAATATGTCCTGCAAAACATTTTTAGGCAGCAATTTTGACATGGATTCCAATATTGAATGCTCAGTGATGTATGATGAAACAGCTTTTTTTGGAACATTTGCCAAGTCTGCAAGTTGAATGGAAAGTTGATAGAAAGTAGATGTTTAGAGAGATGATGTGATGCTCAAAACAAACTTGTGATTTTTAGTAGTGTTTCTTAGGGGGCACTAACTGCAAAATATGGAAACATAAAATAGGTTCTAGAATATTGGTTGGTTAAGTTCAGTTTATTTTTGAGAAACAATTGCTTACTTCTTTCAGCTTCTTAAGAGAGGACATGAAAATGAGCAATTATTTTCTTGGAATTAAGCTTAACTAAACATGTAACTAGGGACTAGTGTGTAGCATAAGATTGAGGCAAACAAGATAGTTTTTATGTTCATGCCCTATTTAATTTTGCTTGTTATAACATTTACAGTTGAGTAACATTTACACATTTTTTTGTTTAAATATTTCTTTAATATAGAGAGTAAAAATATATTTCTAAAAATTTTCATTTTATTCTTCAAATGAAAAGTAAAACCTAAGAACATATTTGTTCAAGCTTTTGAAAGCTCTTCAACAGTTGTTACTCAATAAAAAAAATCTATTCATTTTATTGCTTCAAACTCTAATAAAGAATACTTGTTTCAAAAGGGCGAGGGTGACGAGCCGTATACCAAGTACTACAGTAACTTTATGATACAGCTGCCCTTGAAGCACCTTCCGTCTGAGTGTGTGACCAGGGCCTAACTGCACTTTATTTCACTTGGAAAATTGGACCATACACTGCAATGTGCCTAAATATTATCTGCTCAGGGACCAAAGCACAATCCTGCTGAGTGCTGACTATTCAGAAACCATAGAATCTATTATAGGTATATGGGAAGTTTTATTCTCTAGTAAAATCAATATCAGTCCTTGCTTCTGTTATATGCAATTTTTATAGATTCTTTTTCACACTTACAAGCCAATTATAATGTTAAAAGGATTTAATGTAATAAAATTGATCAAACAAAAGTGATATCAATACGTTTAGAAAAAGAGTTCAAAAGTGACCTTAAATACCAGTAATCCATACTATCAAGGTAGGTTTTAACCACTAGATGATGCATTTAGATTCTTTCAACACCAAAATATTACTTAGTAGACAAGTTATTACCACTAGTTGTTACAAAAAAAAATTCCAATTCATATTACTAAAATTTTAGTCAGCTTTATTTGATTTGAGGGAAAAAGTCACGAGAGTTGATATGTGTTGGAAATGCTTTGTGAGAAAATGGAAGTCTCGAAGTTCGTATGCCCTGAACCGGGGCTTTTCCTTTTTAGGTGTCTATCTGATTTCAGTAACAAATTATGATGAAACAGACCAAAGCAAAACGAAAATCAGGGGCGGTGTCGTTATTTATTTTCTCTTTTTACACGTGCAGTCACCTTTAGGCTTTTTTCTTATATTAAATTCTAAAATATGGAACTTTTTAAAAAAATTATAAAAGCAATTTTTAAGTTGAAAATTGTCATTAATAATTTTTTATAGTTTAATTTTTCTAAATTTTCATTTTTTGAATTTTATTAAAAATTGTCATCAATAATTTATTTATAATTTTTTTTAAAAAAATATTAATAACAATTTTTAATATTTTATAAGTTTTAGCCGTTCCATCTCTAAATATTTATACTGTTGTTATTTTAAAATCTCATATTTTTATAATTTTTTTAATATATATATATATATATATATATTATTTTTAAATACCTTATTAAAATTAAAAAACTCACCTTTTAAGTCCAGGGTCATGTAGAATAATATTGATAAGCTTTACCTGTAGTCGAAAGGTCCTCCTGCGGCCCTGTAGCAATCACAGGCGGCTTATGCTAAACTTGGAATTATCTTTCTCTGTCTTATCTCTACTATTCTGATCAAAGTGGAATTTATAAGAACATGAATTCATAGCTAAAACTAGTTAAAGAAGGAGATTCTCATCATCTACCAAATCAGGTCAATATGGGCTTACTCGAGGGACCTCAACCTGACTTCATTTTCATATCCTTATTTTCTGTCTTTTTATTTGATGAAATATTCGACCAAGCCAGACAGGTGGCGGCGAACAACAGAACCAGTTAAACCCACTAAAAATCTGGTAAGAAAAAGGACATTTTTAGCAACAGCTGCAGCAAATGGGTCTGGATTCTCATCCAACTTTCACATAATTAACCAGCTTTATTTGTTTGGCAGCATCCATATCTATGTAAACAAAACGTCCCAATCGCTAATAAATTTGGTGTTATCTGCAAGATTAAAGTTAAGGTAAATTTTTTGAGAATTTTTTGTTTAAAAAATCAGTATAAAAAATAATAAAACTTCTATCATAAATTAAAAATAATTTTTATTTTTTTAAAAGCTTTAAAAGCCTTTAAAGATATAAATTATTTTTATTTTATGAAAAATGTTTTATTTATTTTTTATCCTTTTTTTTTTTTCCTGTAATGACTTTTATACAAATTCATCCAAACAGTGCCTAAGTACTATTTGAACAGCACTTTGAAATATTAAATCAGTATAAGAGAATCCTCTTTAACTTCATTGCAATCTTCACAAATAATATAATGGATAAACCACGAGACATATTGGAGTCTTTAATATATAAATGAACAATGAAAAGAATGGTTGATCAAAAAATGTATCTCACACATAAGACGTCAAAGAGAAAAAATCAATTTAATAATACAATGTCAAAAAGCTTATTACAGAATCACGTAAGTGAACAAAGGATCAATTCGGTGGCTTAAAAGCATGTGGCAACAATACGTGCACAACAATAATTAGAAATGTGATATTTTCTTTCGTCGTCCTTTTTGCATCACGAAAACTCCCTCACCTTCCATAACAATATTGTGATTCTATATCAGTTTACAGAAACTCGTTAATTTCTTACTTAACTCGCTTAATTTGGGGTTTACATGCCAACGAAAATTTTAGTAACACCTATAGTGATTGCCAAACAAAAGAATATGGGAATGCAAAATGTTCACAGATAACGGAGCTATATCTACATGCAAATAGAACACATCCGCACATTTAGCTGCTCTTGTATTTTTGCCTCCACAGAAGATCGAGGACAAATCCAAGCAAGCCATGGGGAAAATCTTCCGCGATTGGCTATATTAGGCCACAAAGAATATGAAGATCATGAGGAAAAGTATTAGAATGGCAAATATCTTGATTAGAAGCCACCTATTTGAAGATATTTGGTTGAGATGCCTTAATAAAGAACTGTGGGCTCCTTCAACATTTGCCAATGACTCATCCATATTGTCATCAATCCTGCCCAAACCAGTTAGGTAGATTTAATGCTAATTTCTAGAACACATGAACATTCATAATATTGGGATTCAATATTTTAACATTCACCAAAACCATTATTAGGTGGAGGAAAATTTAGTCCGCTGCAGTAATCAACGAGTGTCAAATATTCAAGTCAAAGAAGAAAAACCTGATAGCAAGCTCCCCTTGATGGGCAACCATTGTAGCCAAATGTGAGAAGATCCCACTAAGTTCAGTGATAGTAGATTCCACATTGTGCAGAGCAGTTGCTCGACTTTGAGCATAATTATCTTGTCGAGGAACAACCTGCTGTACCATAGACATTTCCATTTGCTGAGATGGAGCGTTGTCCACAGCCAACCTTCGTCTGTGTCAGCAAATTGATCAGATCTTGTAATTTAACTTATCTGTACATACTAAGCATAGCTAAAAAATTTGATCAATTCATACCGAAAAAGCAACTCATCTCAAGAATCTGAGGATAAAATTTTACATGAGAATTCATAAGCTTGATTAGGCACTAGGCAAATAATTGAGATAGTAACAAGCTCCAAATTTAATGAACACAATAAGCAAGTATCTTTTGTGATATTCAAGTAATTGCCCACTCAATTTATGCAGGCATATTATAAATGGGAGAAATGTAAACATCAAGCTGTTCAGGGCTTTAAATAGATGCTATTATAATATTTTAGAAAACCTATATGGGCATCTTTGCAAGCAAATTACTCTTCATCAATGTAACAAGATGTCTATCAAAGTTTAAATCAATCAATGTAAGGTATAAAATGCTTATATTAAGAGCTGAAAAACAATACAAAAGACAAACCTAACAATTAGATGATTTATAGTACTAAATGACTTCTATGATGAAATTATGATGCAATCATTGATCCGATGAGTTGTGAATTCAAGCGACACTACTAAAAAACAATCATGATTTAGATCACAATTGAATACTGTGAATATATGACTCATCAAATTAACTACGAAGAATAAATTGCACCCAAAAGATTCTACTTGTTAGGCTAGAAGTTTATTTCATTTGTGCAACACAGACAAGATCAGTCATGCACACTAAGAGAAGGATTCCCTCATTTTTTTTATTATGCTTGTTGCAGAATAAGAGAACTCCGCCTATGACCACATAGCTGGTCCCAAGCTCAGGTAAAGAAGGAGGGTTGTGTTAGACTTTCGACAGCCAACGTAAAACTTATCAAAAGTTTTTATATGGATTACACACGACAATTTGTTGTTGTTGCAGAATAAGAGAAAGATTAATGGATGCTTTGTGTCCATCATCACATAATAGTGAGCAAGGAATATGCACTCAAGAATTTAACCTCAAATGCACTTAGAGATTATGATCCATGAGAACCAAATGAAAGCTGCTTGTTTTTACATGAAGTGCTAGCTCAAGGTGATATTTGTCTTTTTAAGACCTACATATAACCATGCTATATGGAAATGTAAAAGGGATAATTAGTTTTTATAGCTTTAGAAGAACATTTAAACAAACCTTAGTTGATTGCCAACAGGAACTCCATTTGATGGTAATCTGCATGAGAGATGAAGATACATATTATTTTACAGCAACCAGGCTTTTAGAGTTCTATTATTTTTGTCATAAAATAAATAAATAAAAGATACACAAATTCAGTGTTAATGATTTACAAAGTGAGGGAAGCTTCAGAAATAACATTTTGAAAGAGAAAAAAGTAAATAAATAAATTACATAGACAAACTAAATTATAATTTATAAGTATTAAAAGTATCATCATTAAATAGAAAATTGTGATCAGGCTATATCATAGTTCATTTTAGGTTCCCGCACGTATATACATTGCCAAAACTTGAGATTGTAGCATTCCAAAGATGCCATAAAATTTGTTAGTGGTAGTAAACTACTGGGGAAATAGAAACAGTTATGTAGTTAAGAGATTTTATCAATGTCCTACTGGGTTTGCTGATATTTTCTTGAAGCAGCATACGAAAAAAGAATACCTGAAAGTGGGGAATTCAGTAAAAGGCTAGTGAAGACGATACCCCTCAACCACTTTAAAGCACAGTTCAGGACTTCGGGTTTGAGTAATTCAGTAGCATGTTCCTATTGGAATTTGGAAAAGTAAACTTAGATGTTCTACTTCTATTCTGGTTAGCCTGGACCTGTCCTTACATTATTTAGGACTCAATGGTAGATTCTGAGATTCAAATTTCTCAGCAAAAGGAACAATGATTTTTTAGTAAGCATCAACTTATTAAAGACACCCTTCGTAGGGCTCTGTCTCAAGTGTCCTTTGTGACCAGTCAAATGTTAGGCTATTATGGTCAACCGTGTTATTATGTATCACAACTCGAAGATATGAAATATATATGTTCTGCTTCTATTGAATATCACCATGTTTCTTACTATTACTTATCCAATTAAGATAAATATCAAAGTCAAAAGCCAAGCTTTTACTTTGTGGTACAAAAATTCAATCTTATCCCATTGTGTGCATAAGGAAAAAAAATGAAGTTTTGATATCAGCAAATAAATTTTGTTAACATAAAAAAAAAACTTTGATATCTCAGCTGCAATATGAATTATAAACCATGTCAAGAAAAGTTTGGCTAGATAAGACCCATGCACACTTGTATAAATATGGACAGATCAACCTATCCATTATGCAGAACTAAGAGCCTATCAGCAGCCAACATAAGACAAGAAGAGTACTCAAGAGTAAGAAAGCATAAATTTTTGAAACTGGGATACACCAACACCTAACCTAACTCCCAATTATTTACAGAAGCATAGTAACAACTAACAAGTAGCCATCACAGAAGCCCGGTTGTTCACTTTGCACATTGTGCCAGATTACCTAATTGTACTTGACATTATGGAAGTTGGGAAGGAACATTCATGTCATGGCATAACAAAAAAAAAGAAAAAACCTCACCCTGGTGCTTTTTGCAAACTCTCAGATGTATTCAGCGAATTTGACCAAGGTGGTGGCTCGGTGGCTGGCTTTGGCTGATTCTGGAAAGGGTTCTCTCTTGACACATTCTTGGAAAATATCTGCTTCCTATTCTCATGAGCCTTAATATTCTGAAAATACCACAAGCATTAAAAAATATACAATTTTTCATTTCCATTATGTTGGTTATGTTGCTCTAGTCCTGAAAATTAAAATAAAATAATATTTTGGAATTTGGATTAACGAACCTCTGTCCGAGTAGTTAAAACATCTTGAAGGTGCTTCGTGGCTCCCATGAGTTTGCTCTTCAAGTCATCACATACAGCAGTTGAATGCACAATCCTATCCTCCGAGTAATTGCCATCGGCTATATCCATGTTCTGAATTGTTTGCAAATCGGAGAGAGCAGAGTTCAACGCTGTGATCTCGTTTTTAATCAAAACGGTGAGTTCTTGGATTTCCACAATCGGATCGTTGAACATGGACGATTTCTTCGCCAACTGAGCTAGCCTCGCGATCTTCTGCGAGGTTTCGTGGATCCCCAATCCGATTCGGGAGGCTTTGCGGTTGAATTCGGATCTCGAATAGGATCCGTGAGACGTAGACGGAGCATTCTCGGGTTGACCCAGGGGCAACGTGGCTCCCCCAGTCTTCTTCAGAGTCTCCGACAGTGACCGGAACTCCGACGTGCGGTCACGGTAAGACGAGGCCATCGGAAACGCTCTGTCGTAATTCCCGGATCTCATGAATGATGCCATTTCAGTGGACTTCTCAACTAACTGGGCCCCACTTCCATGCAAAGTTAAATGGGCCTAGCCCAATGGGTTACCAAAGCCCAAACATGACTCATTTCGATCTCTGCTCCCCTCAACGTCGTCAACCTCCAGCTTCTTCCCCGGCAAGGTAGAGTTACCCCAGTGTTCTGCACAGTTAAGGTTTGACTAATGCTTGTGGTGAAAACAGGGTCTAACAATGGAAAGGTAGCTTCTGCTTGACTTTCTATTCCTTTCTTACCTGGTTCCATTCTATTACTTGCTACCAGTGTGGCAGTGCCTTACATTCAACTGCTTTAAATTGTGCTTTGTTCATTGTAACTTGTTAACAATAGGAATAATAATGCGCAACAAGATGCTAATGAAATGGTCCTTTTTTAGTGACTGATTCACTGGAAACGAAGGTTATTTTATTTTAGTTTCTGTTACAACTTACAACTATCAGGAAAATAGCTGTCTGTCAATGAACTAGTTCCTCTTTAAACTAGGGTTCTAAACATGCTTTCTAGTACGCATGTTATTGTCTAACAGTTATTCCTGAATTACTACTTGCAGAAGCACAGTGAGCACCTGAAAGACTCCAAGGTCGTTGATAACAGTATGGACAACTCCAACTTTTAAGTAACATTGTTCTCTTGTTCAGCTTCTTCCTTTGGATCTTTGTTATTGCTCTCAAGGGTTGCCTTGGGAAGGAGCTGAGCCACATTGCTCTCTGAAGGAAGAGTTATTAGCGATGCAGTGTTATGCAGCTCGAATCGTTTTTATCTCCCACACTGCCCACTGTTCTGCCTCTCTCCACTTATTGATATACATCAGCCTTAGGCTTAATTTGATGTTGTCTTAAAAATAAAATAATTTTAAAAACACATGATAGAAATTGGCAATTGGCAATGGTTATAGTAAGTGTACTTTATAATGACATGTTATAACATATTTTAAAATTATAATATTTATATTTTAATTTTTAATAAATTTTGTAAGTTGAAAATATTAAAATAGTAAATATTTAAAACAGTTTTTTAAAGTATTTTCTTTAAGACAAATATATTTTATAAACATAATTATAATAGTTTCAAAAGTAAATTTTATTTTCATTTACATAAAATTGAACTCTATTATCCCAAACTCATTTTCTTTTATTAATATTTTTAAAGTTAGTTTAAATATTTTATGTGTTTCTAACAATTAGTTCAATAAATTCAGTAAATGTGATTGAAATTTAAGATTAGAAGTCTTGAAAGATATATCTAAGGAAAAAGATCAATTGAAATTAGATAAATATTAGTTTAAATAGTATTGTACAAACTTTGTTTTATTCTTTTTTATTTATTCTTTATTGTATGCAAACATATTTTCAAATTTAACAACTTAAATAATGATATTCTTTTTGCATTATCATATTTTAAATTGTAATTTTTGTAAGTAAAACTAATTAAATTTGAATACATTATATACTCATCAAAATTCTTTTAGTAACAAGCAACTTGATTAAATCAAAATAGATATATTAATTAAAGAAATGTATTTTAATGCTAAAAAAATATAAGAAATCATTCTTTGTAACTTTTGCTATAATATTTGTATAAGCTAATTTTATATAGCATGATCATACAAAATTTTATTAGTTTTAGCTTAAACCATTATTTTTCAATTAAATTAAAATTGAAGAATTATCATATTTGAGTATTTCGTTTAAGCCATATAAATTTTGCTTGAACTAATAATATTCTCACATAAACAAATTCATTACCGCTAAAGTAATATTATTCTAATGAGTTATTTTTTTGTAACTTTCGTTTAAGTGAGGTTAAAATGGCTTAAGTAAATTTTACATATATTATGCTAAATATATGCAACTAGTGTGCATGAAGTGTATGTGAGAAATCTAAAATGACATTAAACAATCTATTAATTCAAAAATTTATTTTTATGATGAATTGAAACTGTAAGAATAAATGTGAAAATTTTAATTTTAAAAATTATGGATTAGATTGCATATGTAGGGGTTTGCAAAGAACTCTAGAGATATAAAATTGCATTTAATGTTTTATTAATTCAAAAATTGTTTCTTATTATAAATTAAAATTACATCAATACATGTGAAATTTTAATTCTTAAAAATACTACCTAGATACAAGGTACATATAAAACTTGTATAGAAAAAATAAAAAATAACTATCAACACAATCTTATAAAGATTTAAAATAACAAGTTTTGAAAGTTTAAAAAGTAATTTTATAAATTTTTATGGAATATTAAATTATAAATATATAAAAATTAGTATTATTAAGTAAAAGTTAAAAATTTTGAATCATTAATTTTTTTAAAAATATATTTAATAATTTAAATATACTAACTCATTCGTACATTATTTTATTATTTATTAATTTAAGCCATATAAATTATTAAAAATATGAAACCAAGCAATTCTTAAAATTAAAATGCCATGACACAACACACAAAAACCCTCGTCAATGAGACTTTTCTTCATATCAGGGAAGATGAAAAGGATGTGAGAGTGCATAGGCAATTAAAAATAAATTAAAAATTTGATAAACATAAATTTAATATAAAAATATATAACTAATAAAGTAAAAATAAAAATAAATATCTATTTAACCATGTTAATTCAAGGACATCTTTAGCCTCATTTACTTTTTTTAATTTAAGAATAAAACTTAAATACAATACTATAAATATTATCGATATTATTTGCTAATTCAATACTAATGTAATAAATTTTAATACCACTCAAATTCCAATGGAATAATAATAATAATATTAACAATTTCTAGGGTAATGCCTCAAAATTGTATCATTGTTTGCCTTAAATCGAGAATTCCTCCTTTAGGACACATTTCCCCAAACATCCCAAATTAAAAAAGAAATTGCAATAATCCTAATTTCAGTCCATAACAATGCAATATGTATATCAATTTATACGTGTCTTGTATATTCTTTCTTACTCTTATATTAATATTTTTCATAAATTTTAAAAAAATTAGTTAATAATAAAGAATATATTAAAAAATATATTATTGATATATATTTTTTCTAAATTAAGAGAGAAAAAAAACTTGTTTTAAAAACCATCCAACAAATTTAATGAGCATAAAAATCATAAAATGTCTGGAAAAAAGCAATAATTAATTAGAAACATAATCTAAAAAGAAGATATAAATCTTACCAACAGTAAGCAAGATTGAGTCAGAAACCCATCCCGAATCCGACTCCAACTCCGAATCTGATACTGCAACCCGATTATGAACGGGTAAAACCCACCCGAAAAACCCGGTTTATTTCCGTGCAAAGCCAAACACGCCGTTCCCCACATTACCGGGTCGGGTCATTTTCCAACGGGTTTTCCAACCCCAAGGCATTGGTTAACTCATCAATGATCTTCAACCGTCGGATCTAGGTTTCCACAAAAACCTAATTCACCGACACTGTATGAACGGAGAGCACAGGCTTTATTCTCCTTTCATCCATTTCGTGCCTTTCTTCCTTCCCACACTCTACCGAGCCACTGCACTGTTGATGTATTTGACTTTGCATTTGTAAATTCAGTGGTAATGGCGGGGAAATTGTCGAAGACAGCTTATGATGCAAAAATGCTGAAACTTTTGAGAGAATACAGCCAGGTGTTGGTGGTTTCATCGGATAATGTGGGTTCCAACCAGCTTCAGGGCATACGGAGGGGACTCCATGCTGATTCCGTGGTTGTGATGGGAAAGAACTCAATGATGAAACGCTCTATTATCTTGGATGCTCAGAAGACTGGCAACAAGGCCTTTCTTAACCTTGTTCCCCTTCTTGTGGTAACGCTTTTCTACCTCAATTCCTTGCTTAAAAATAGGCAATTGCATTCAATTTTCAAGACAGGATTATTGTTTATGTATGTTCCTTCAATCAGGGAAACGTGGCGTTGATTTTCACCAAAGGTGACTTAAGGGAGGTTAGCGAGCAGATTGCCAAGTACAAGGTTAAGTATCATGTTCTATTTGTTTTAGTGTTCAATATTATTCTGCATTATTGCCGTATGATCATGGGTTGCTGTGTGTAAAGGCGTGTTAGTTGTAGTAGTTTCATTCATCTTCTGCAATGTTTTTGGAACAATCCATGGTTTAGTAGTCAAACAACTAACTCAAAAAAATAAACGTGTAGCACTGCAACTAAACATGCATCTCCTTCAAGTTCTGGTAGTATGTACAAATAAAAGAGACCTTCGCTTCTCAATGCCTCACTAAAGCATTGATCTTCTATCATTGTTTATAGATTCTACACTTTTTGCTAATGTTCTTCATGCCCAAAAACTTGTATTGGTATGTCTTGGTTTGCTTTAGAACTAACTAAACATTATGGTAAATATTTTTTTTATCAAGTTGCCATGATGCAGGGCTCGGAGATTTTTCTCTCTTTATTTGGCTTGCCTTAATTTTTTTTTTATCTTTATTTGAATGTTTCTGATAAATATTAGTCATGTTCACGATGTGAAAGACCTATTTCCTTATCAAGGAACCAATTAGAAGTCTTCCTTATCAGAAGCCTTATGTTTTCACTATCTATTTCTGCAGGCTGTCCAACCTATTCTTATGTGCCCCAAGTACATCTCATATGACTCATATCACAATTGTTCCTATATGCAATCAGGACAGGTACCTTTGGGCCTCACGTGTTGTAATCAGCAGTGTTCTCAGACTTCAGAGCCTTTTCTTGTAAGCTCAAAATTCATGCCTCACCAGCATTGTTTCTTGATGAGATCAAGACAGTTCTTGATGACGAGTGTATGGGCTCCTCTTCTCCTTTTGGCTGGTAACTTGTGATGTGGATGAAGTTATCTGATTGGGATCACATGGTTTATATTAATCTTTTTCTTGAGCACTGCTGGCTTTCAAACTCTATAGAGTTGCACTCTCGCTTTTCAGGGAGTGATGTAGAATGAAAATTATATTGATCAGGGTTTCAATTTTGGTAAATGAGGTTCTGATGCAAGGATTTTCAATTTACCCTTGAATTGTATCCTCATTTTAAATAAGGATATGACAAGATATTTATTATCTGCTTGTTCATTAATCTATCTCATAATCATTGCTTTTTGTGAATGGCTATAAGCTCCGCTACTTTCACAATTTCAGAATCTTTTACTTAATTAATTACTGTTGGCTCAAAAATTGTATAATTTATCACGTTGATTTTTCAGCACTATTATAACTTTGAAGTCAGATGAATTTAATTCTGATGAATTATACAATTTTGTGTAAATACAACACATGCTGATTACAACACGAGAGGCCCTAAAAAAAAAAGATTCTATTAAAGGCCCTATAAGGTGTTCAAGCTGCCAGTTAAATTTATAGATACCTCGAGCAGGTTTTCACTTGATTTAGTTAAGTCATGAAAATTTAACAAAAAACATCCCAACCAACCCCTTCTTTGTACATCTGTTGGAATAATTGTTGTTTTTTCTTTTAACTCCACCCATTTCCATCCCTTCTAAAGATTACAAAGGCTAAGCCAGATAGTTGTTGCTTCTTAATAATTGAACAATGACGTTCCCTTAGTTGCCTCCCTTTGAAATAGCAGTGAAGAACTTGCTATTCAAACAAGTCCTAAACTAGCATAGCGATGAATTAAGGTATATCGAATATCCAATTACATCTAATTAAGCCGTCCTGGATCGTTACTTATGTCCCTACCCTCAATAACATCTTTGTGTGGATCGTTATCAATAACAGTGTCATTATCGTCATCACTGTCTTCATCTTCACTATCATGGCCATTATCATTATTGTGGTTTACAATTTTTTGAACTGTTTTCTCAATTCTCGCGTTTAAGAACATCTTGTCCAGTGTGCAAGTATTTTCCTTCACCACCACCGTCAGATCCATTTTCTTTAAACAGGACTGATGGATACCTTGGTGGCTTTTCAGGACAATGTTTGAAGTTTCTGCACTTAATCCCTCTTTATATCTGCATAAAAGTTTCTGCAATAAAGTTGTCTCCCTCTTCTTTGATGAAGGTTTTTCTGAAAAATCTTTGCCAGCAAACTTCTGCTTTCTGGCAAACCGACCTTTTCTGTCTGATTTCTTGTTGAACTTGTTTTGGAATTTTCTTTTGTTACTAAATTTGTTTTTTCATTCACTTTTAAGACCTTGATTTTCAGAATTCTTCGAGTAGCATACCATGATGGAATTTCAGCAACTTCAAGTCTCAACTCAGCTTGCTTTGCTAAAATCTCTCTAAGCTGAAATGACAAGATATATGATGCAGTAATGAAATGAAATACTATTTGTTACGAGTGGAAGAAAGATTTATTTGTCAGCATTTATTATATTATATTGCTAAAACCTCCCTAAGCTAACAAAAATACTATTTGCTTAATTCCCGATTGAACAACAGAATTCAATTTGGAAACATAAAAATATTATATTGGAAGGTATTACAAGCTCAAAGTTATGAGTTTATAGCTTTTAGGGCTTTTAGCAGTAAAATTAACTAAATATTTAAGATATATAACTAGCTTATAAAATTAAAATTGTTTGACAACCTAATTGTGCAACTAATTAATTTATGTTAAATAATTTAAAAAACATATTATATTATATTAATATAATATTAAAATTAAATTATTTATATTATTTATTTATTATCTATTAATTAATTAATTAATTATATAGCGTGGTATATGGTAGATTTATACCCTACATAATGTGTAAAAATAACACAATGTGCTAACTCAGCTAAAATTGATTTGAGAATCATTTTCAACTCATTAGAACATATATAACTCTAGTATATGAGATTGTAAATTTCAATCGCTTTAATTCTTAACTTCTTAAAATTTTCACTTTAGTATTAAGATTGTAAAAAATAATTTATTTCAGTTCTTTTTTATTTTATTTTTCGTTGTTGTTTTTTATGAAAATCAACTAAAGTAAATTGCAAAAGTAATGATTTTGTAAAGTAAAAAACTAAAGGGATGGATGCTTACATGCATGGATATCTTATGAATATAAGATTGAATTTTATTCCTTTCTGTAAACATAATTATTATGTGCATTGAAAGCTTACCTGTGAAATTGTAGTATGTTTTCAGGTTCTTATTAGAAAAACATGATGACTATTTTGTGTTTGAGGACACGACTTATTTTTTAAAAGCATGGTATGTGTCATGACCCGAAATTAGGCTCATAATTAGTACACATGTTAAGTTATTTAGAAATATTAATAATTATTTAGAAATCAATATATACACAATAAACTTTTTTTTTCTCACAAGTAATATGATAAATTTGTCAAAAAATTTGGCAAAGTTTATTCTATATATTTATTATTCCAAAATATGGTAATCTATTAGAATCAATTTATAATTCAACCACAATTAATCAAATTCTAAAATATTATACTATCAAAATTAAAACATCTAATTATATAACTAAACAAAAAATCTAACTCCTTAATAATTGCATAAAATCCAAGTTCTAACGAAACAAACAGAAATAAAGTCACTGAAACAATGATAGTCTACTAATAAAGATTTTACTAGGATGGAATGGTGTTTTTAGTAGTTAGCAATTCTACTGTCTAATGATCCCTAAACAATGTATAAATAGGGCGAATGAATTACGTAGACTCAATGAACAAGAAAAGAAATCAAATAACATGAGTATTTCACAGTTATAAAACTTATTTAAAACATCATTCTATAAGAAATTAATTTCAATTTCTCTTTCAAAAGTTTAGTCATTATATAAAATTTACAAATTTATATTGTTAGATAAAATATCATTTCAATCATAATTACTATAATAAGATATGCATATGCATATACATAAAAATAATTAAATAATAATAATTTCAAAAAAATCATAAAAGCTAGTATATATATATATATATATGAAAAAACTAAAGTCCAAGGCAGCTTCGTTTTGTTGATAATTCTCTCATTTTAAGGGTAATCTCTTCTTTCGAGAGAGCTCTATTTAACGTGTATTCCGCTATTTGCATACACCATGTTATTATTAATTTCAACAGAAGCAGCTTCACTTCATCTTATTTTATCTTGAAGTTAGTAGCATCTATATTGTTATTTCTGCTATCGGTTACAAATCTAAGATAACTTTTCTTTAAAATATTTTTGTTATAAAAAAGTCATTCTTATATACAAATACTTTTTTTTAATAATCAAAATCTTAATGTATATATCTCATAATTAAATATCAATAAATAAAATTAAAATAATTACTTCTTTCATACTTTTTAAATAAATTCCTATACTTAAACAACATATATATAATAATAATAAATTTTTATGTGATTAAGAAATAAATTTAAAACTTATTTCTCTAAATAAATAATTTTATAATAATAATAGATGAATAATAAAAATAATTATAAAGATATACTAATAGAATAGGATCTATTAATACTAAAGTTTTATATTAAATTATAATTATACAAATTAAATAATCTAATGATTGAAAAGTTACTTGAAAAATATATAAAAAATAAAAATAATAAAAAATAATTTTTTAATTATTAAATTATTTAATTTATATAATTAAAATTTGATATAAATCTTTTAAACTTACATTATGCAATAGATATCTCTAATTATAAAGTACCGTCTTTGATGTATGCCAATCCTGCATCGATATATGTATATATCAACTTCATCGGTTTAGTCATTGTTCGTTAATAAAGTTAAAATATTTGAGATTGGATAAGCTGGAATCAGTAGTTTGGGAGGTCATAGAGTGAAAGAAGATCATAATGCGTAGACAAATTTGCTGCCGTGTTTGGGCGGATGCCCTTGGTATTTACGACAGTTAAGGCTGTTGATAGCCGCAATATCTGGTTTTGGTTTGGCTTTTTTCCTGTATAAGGAGAATAGTTTCATATAAAATGCTGTATCTAGGATGATATAAAAGTTTCATAAAATGTCTTGCCGATGTCGGCCACAAAATTACTGACTAAGTTTAAATATTCTCACGTATGTGTTAGCTAGTTTTAATTCGATACATGTGTGTAGATTTTTTTTTATTTTTGCGACACTTATGTGTTGGCCAGTAAAATGCTGACACCTGTTTTATGTTGATTATTTTTATACTGACACTTCTTCTATCCACTTCATTATTCTTTAGACAAAACAAGAGAAAATCTTTTATCCAGTAGTTTTTATCTAATTAAAATACATATATATGTGGACGAGTGTGTATTGTTTGCAAAAAATTTTAAAGAAGCTATCGAGTATAAAAAAAATTGAAGGTTAGAATGTTATTAATTTATTATTTTAATTTTTTAATTATCGCAATTAAGTTTAAATTAATAATTTTAATATTATTATGAATTAATGAAATTAAAAATATTTGTAGTAATTAATTAAATTATTTAATGTTAATATAATATTATTGAAAATATAAATGTAAAAATATTTTTGATTTTAATATTTTTGTAATATTTTTTGTTACTATTTATTTAGGTATACTTTCGTAATATTTTTTGCTGTATTTTCTAATTTGATATACAGGATGACTAAAATTGTGGTTATTTTATAATCAAATTTTATAATCAAGAGTGTATGAAGGAAATAAGACTATCGTATTTGAAGAAAATAAGAAAATGATTAAAATAGAACGTGAAATTACTTTTAAAATGTTGAAAAAAAAATATACAAAATTAAGATTGTGCAATAGTAATGTAATTTCTAGATTGATTTCACGAATTTTAATTGATATAAGAAGTGGAAACTACACAATTTTAGATGTATGTGATGATAAAGACATTGACTGTATGATAAGTGCTTGTCAAGAACGACATTAAAGAAATATAGTTAAGTTATATGTGGACATTGCAGTTGATAAAACTTCTCATGCAGGTGAAACTTTGTTATGTTTAAATTTATCACTCCTAACTGTTAATATTAGTGACAATGAAAAAGAGTATGCAATTGG